AGCGCCGCCCCTTACGGAAGCCTTGGGCCGGGTTTACGTTGTTATGGTCGACTTTAGAGAATTAGATAATGTTTACTAGAGAGAATAATTACTAGCGTTCTAAAGAGAGTGGAAGCTTCCTCGATTGATTTCGAGGGCAGCTTATATAGCAAATAGATTGAGTTATTGTAGTTTGGGTTGCACACAATCGGTGGGCGAGAGGTCCGGCGAGTATGGTGGATGAGGCAGAGTTTCGTAGCCCAATTCGTTCAGCTTTTGCAGGGTCGGTTGTGCAACGTGCGGCCGAGCACGTTGCGTAGATATCTCCAGGGAATCCAATCCCTATATTTCAAACAACACCAATCAATAAAATCTTTTATCCAGGCTGATTCATCTCTTATAAAATCATCCGATCCCGATACAAAAATACAAAACACAAAATACATTTTAAATAAAACGGGATCAATTCCCACACTCCCGACGAGGAAGACTACTATTACAATACTTTTGATTTAAAGAACTTAAAGATGAAATCCATGATGATTGCATTTGGATTTACTCTTAACAGACAGAGAGCCAATATTAATAGACCAATGACACAAACTACGATAATCTACGGGTTAAAGCTATTTGTGGTCAGAGAGGTCGAATAAACACTAAGATATTTGGAGATGAACGCAGGACTTTGAACTTGTCCCACGATCACGAGATTAATTCGCACAAAGCTTTGAAGTAATTTTCTGAGCGCGAGTAAACGTCCGCCAGTTCAACTTTTGAGAGTTTGAGAATTACGGCTCTGATCATCATCGTTTGAAAATTCTCGATGACTTAGTGTTGGTTATGTTGTAGGATTGTCCTTAACGCGAGGTTTGAAATAAAACAACGTGGAATTTGGCCAAAGAAGAGTTGCTTATTAAGAGCAAATGTCTTTACGGCCATTGCTCCTATTAGTATAATAGATTACGGATTATGTCTACAAATGCTCCTTTCCATTTTGTGCATGTTTAGACGTCGACATGTAAGTCAAAAATGGTAAAAATGGTTGTCCTAGGGTTGCTTTTTCATCCATATATATTGCTTTGGCGGATGGTTGAGGAGCCTTCTTTTTATGTTTGCATGTCGCTCTCGGGAACGGCCGCGTTGAGAGCTTGACGAAAGCGAGTTCATCTACATTACGTTCAGATATATTACTATAACCTCTATTTCGCCAAGCTGGCGAAAGACTACAACTTATGGAGATAAGCATATGTGTTGGTCTTCTGGCTCCTATATGATACTTTACACGTTACTGATCCCAAACGGCCCTCTTGATGGCCGTTTGTCAGTCATTTGCTTCTTAGCTCTTCCAAGAAGATGTTGCCCCAAAATTGGGAGTTAATTAAGGCAACTTCCCCTGCTCAGGCGCAGATTGTAGACAATGGTCTTACAACAGGCTCTTCTGTGGGACCTCCAATTGTTGTATACGAAGAGTAAAATGTCTTTACGCCCTGGTGCAAGCCTTGACGTGGACAGACACGTCCAAAATTGTTGTCCTTCGGCTGGAGTTGCTGTTTAGCGGTATTCATATATTATGTATAGACAGTTTTGTTTATCCACGGATTGCATCTACATCTAAGATTTACGCGCAGTTTGTGTAGACGGTCAATTAACGCTGCACATTTTTCGTCGCAACTGTACTGCTTCATATCGTTTCTTCTGTCAGTGATTTTACGAAATCATTGGATAAACTGTGGCCATGTCGTTTGCTTACGGTTTGCCAGTCTGGTAGATGATTTTCAATTGTTCGATGTAGTTGTTGACTCGTTTTTTGCTTACGTCCTTTGACGATTGCATGAAGCAGTTCGCACACACTTAAAATAATTTTTTGTTTCGTCGAGCAAAATTGCTGATGGTATAATTGTCGATAGCGCTCAATGTTTTTATGATGTTTCCTCCCGCTCCAAATACTTGCATATGTCAAGGACTCGCGTTTTTGTGTCTAAAGATGACAGTAGAAGCTTGCAAATATAGCTTATTGTTAAGTAAGTAAACGGGGTTGAAAACCCTTTACGACGCACAGTTCCTTAACTTGTTGTTTCGTTGGATTTTGAATGTGGGCTTGTAATGAAGCCTCCTTTTTTGTATGATGATCGATCCACAGAGTGATGTAGTTTAATTACGACTGGGTAGTTAAATAGCCTCTCTACTGTAATGGTCGACTTTAGAGAATTAGATAAAGTTTATTAGAGAATAATTACAAGATCATAAAGAGAGTGGAAGCGCTTCCTCGATTGATTTTGAGGGCAGCTTATATAGTAGATTGAGTTATTGTAGTTTCTATTGCACACATTCCAAACTTGGTTTTTATGTACTCAATTTCTTCTGAGTCACTTTGTGTCCTCATCCGGTTTCGTAATCCGGAAGCTATCGATCATTAATTTCTTCATTGTTTGACGCACGTAATGCGCGTGGCCATTAATTAATCTTGACCTCCTTGGGTGTGGTCTCCTTTGACCACTCCTTTCGTAGTGTAGCAGCGGTGTCCACGTGCTTTCCGCACGGCTTCCATTATTTGATTATTACACAAGATATTGTCGATTTCTCGGCGCGCAGTCAAGGTAATTTGAAAAGTTTATTTTGCAGGATAAAGAAGAAGCTGGGCGATTTTTTGCCCAAAAGAATCATTTTCTCTACCGACGCGGAAAGTATGATATTCGGCGGGGACTTTTGGTCATTACACCAATTTTAAACGCTTTATTATGATGCTGAAACTTCCGGAAAGTCTACAAATTTTTGACACAATGGATCAGACAGACAGCGACAGCGCTATGCAATCGCATTTAGCGACTGCAGCCTGTCGCTGTAACACCGATAAAGTCCGAGCGCGTTGGTGTGATGGCCAAAAAGGTGCCCAAAAGTCTCCGCCCGAACACGCTACTTTCCACGTTGGGGGCGAAAACAATTGTCTTGGGCAAAAAACCGTCCATCATCTTCTTTATCCTGCAAAAAGAATTTTCCGATTATCTTGATTGAGCACAAAGAAATCGACAGAAACTTTCCGGCACATTTCTTGGACGACCCATTGTCACGACTTCACGTGCGAATTTGCATATTCCCACGGAATGACCGACAAATTGGTATAAAAAGAAGAGAAATCGCCCAATCAATTATTATTTTGTTCCTGTCTTTTCCCGCTTATGCGATTGTGTTGTGTGCAATAAACCGTCGTATTTTCTATTGTCCATATTGATTTGTCTGCGGTCAACTCTTGTGTTGGTGGAGTCAAGCAGCATTATGAGTTCATTTGTGAAGTTGTTGCCTAGGGCATAGTTAGTTGTTTGTCCTAGTTTGTGTAGTCGTTTGTCATCGTTGTTTATATAGTATTGTTCGGGCTTGGGATCAGAAATAGCAACTAGAACAGGGACCTTCAATAAGAGCACTATATACACGTGCTCTTACTGAACTCGTGAGACCATTTCTTGGCCCACTTATTGAACTATAAATTCAAAAAATTTTTTTTAAAAATATTATATATTATACACTAGAAAGTTTAGCCCCCACTTTAAAACATGTACATTAAAGTATAAAATCCAAAAAATATAAAAAACAACAGAACAAAATTTTCCATCCGACTGCATAAAACCCAATTTTTTCGGGCTCTTCTACAGATGAATTTTCCATAAATAAAAACGCTTGTAATCGATAAAAAATCAAAAAAAAATATAAAAAAAGGCAAGTGAAAATTATTATATCAGTAATATATTTTATTTGTATAGTATTTAAAAACAATAAAAAATGTGTAAAAATTCAAAATAAATTTTAATAAACATAAATATATTATATATTTTTAATATACGTTATTATATTATAAATTCAAAAAGAGCAATAAAAAATTCACTGTGGAAAAAAGTTAAAAAAAAGTTCAGCCACCCCTCTGTATAAAAACTTATTCTCGAACTTCCCTTTTTCCTTCTTTTTGGAAGCGAAAGAGCGGGGAAAAGACCGAAAAAAGAGTGCCCGATTGCAACGCTGCAACGGGCCTCTCTCTCTCCACGTTCCAAAACCGCTCAGATCGGAACGGCGCTGCATTAAAATCGCTTTTTTTTTGTTCCGAATAGGCCTCCAGTTCATAAATAAACAGAGTTCGCAGGAAATTGATGCATTCCAAAATCGCCATGTTACAGTAATCCTGACCACCTGGTGTCTATCAGTCCGGCCGAAAAAGACAGCAAAAACGACGCATCACCAGCGATAAAAATGGGTTTTGCACAGTGAAAAGCTTTTTTGCACTGTGCAATCAACCAACTTCCCCAAAATTTGGCGATTTTTTCTCGTTGCGCCCATTTCTGCGACGCATCGCGCAAACTTTTGCTGCCGCTCATTTCGGGGTTGAGATTTCGATGCTGCAAGGAGGACAATCCTATTTTGGCCAGACTGATACAAGCGGAATGACGAGCATCCTCCAAAACATATAAGTCTGTCGGGAAAGTAGTGAGCACTCTGTCGCATCGAAAATCGCATCGCCGCCAAGAAAATGAATTGCCAACCTTTTTTTAAACTGCTTTTCACTTGAACGAGGCGATCGGCATAGCGACATTATGGTCATTATTTTCCCGACAGACTTATGTCTCCAGGAGGTTTCAGCGTTCTGTTTTCAAAATTATGGGCGTTACAACACGTTGTAAACCGTTTTCGTCAAGTCAGTAAATTTGTTAGAAATCCATCATTATCACATATTTTTCAAAGATATAATACAAAAGTTTTACAATAAATGTCATCATTTCCAATTGCCTCAAATCTCACCCTGATCAAAGCCCTCAAGGCCTACGCAAAACTTGCTCCCCTCTTGACTCACCTTATATAAATATGGATGAACTCTCTTGCTCATCCCGTATTTGTCCAAGGTTGCAGATGCTTTCTTCGGCTATGAAATGAAGTGCTTTTCTTTGATTTTATTCCTCATCTTCTGCTCGAATGCACAACAAATCGATCGGTCGAGTCGATATTACCGAGGATTTACAGTGCGATGGTTCTCACAGGGCATGCAGGGGATGATTATTCGGATGGGAATTGGACGACCAAGTAAGTGAAAAGGGGTTGGTTTTAGGAAGGGAAGTACCGCAATTTCGACGCTCAGATTTTGATCAAACTTAAATTTAGAATAAGTTTTTCTAAAATATCTGCGAAAATTCTAGCTCGCGCTTTGCAGAAACAACCGAGAGGATTTTACATCAAAGATGGGCGAAAATTTAAGATTGTTTGCCGAATTTCCGCACGAAAAGTTTTATGCTTATTTCTACCGTAAAGAGTAATGTTTCCACAAAAAATCAATGTTTTCCGCGAAAAACTAGGAAAGTTATGGCCAAAAAATGTTTTCTTTCGTTTGTTCCCTTCTCCTCTTCAGTAGGCGTACTCTCTCGGCGGCAATATCTCGGTAATTTAGATATAACGCTTGCGAAGCGCGAGCCAAAACTTTCAGGAATTGATATCGAGTCTATGCCCGACTGTGTGCAAGATTTAAAGAAAATCTGAGCGTCGCACTTGGGGTACTTCCCTTGTTAAAAATAAGTGTGTAAAGTCGGGCTGTTAGAGCTTCTCAATACTTTTCACACATGTTAGTCGGCCCAAAAAATCCTTGGAATTTTCTGCGCCTCAACTCTGGACTCTGCATTTTTTGCGGTAGTTCGAAAAAAACGGTTTTCACTGTGCATTCGGCCCACAAAAAACGAGTACAGTGCAATTTAAATTTTATTTTTTTCTGAAAATTCTTTTGTCATAAATTTTTATCCTTCTTTGATACTAATACAACAGGAACCACAAGGTCTTTCTTTCTGTCCAGCTTTTCCAGAAATTGGGCAAATCGTTCCTCGACTTTTTTCATATCTCTAGGCAAGGCGTCTCGTCGTATTTTAATTTCCACCAGAACATCATTCGTTTCCTTGACGGCGATTTTCTGCTCGCATAATTTGAGCTTTCCCTTTAGCGCGTTGATGGCTATAGTTAACTGTGTCTTCTGTGCGCGTAGCATGTCGATTTTACCAATGCACCATATAAATTTTTAGAGTAGGGATAGTCGAATATGAATCAATTACAAATATCTAATTATCCTTTATTCTCTATCAAATCACATCACATATCACTAACAAAATTGGCTGGATTTATATAGTATTCTATTGGCGTTTTTTCTACAGGGTTTACAATATAGGATTTTTCTGGATTTATCGGAATCACTTTCGAATTCTGATATTTCTAGTTTTTTTACAAGAAAGGTTATTTTTTTTCTCTTTGCTGCAAACTACAGAAAATTCCAGAAAGGGAAGATATAGACAGTCAGATAATTTTAGAAGGGAAAGGGATTTTTTATATCTTTTAATTTTTGACCTAAAGACTTTTTGATAAGCCTTTTATACCCAGCTATTCTTCATTCTTACCTTAAGACGCTTACGATCCTGCTGCGTATTGGTACCTAGATAAAACAAATCTCTCACATGTTCAATACGAACTAGCAAAGTGAGAAGTACCGATATTTTTTATTTTTTTGAGACTTACCAAGTTTGATTTTCATGATGGCTTTTACGTGATGATGCCGCAAACATAACGAGCCTTAGAGATTTCAAAGATATCTCAGTCTCTGGCGAAAGAAATTTGATTATTGTGCAGTAGTATGTTAGACAGTAAGCCAACTTACGTAGTGGTATCGTGAATAGAGAATGTAGAAGAGGGTCTACTATAAGCAAAGTCGCCAATCACATAAATGATATGTTTATCCGGCCAAATTGTGATAGATACAAGCAAAATTTGAATATTTTTTTAATTTTTTTACAATAAAGTAATACAACATATTATACGTTTCGAAAGAGCAACCTAAATTTTACCCTATCCTTTACGTATGTTTTCCTATTCGTGTGTGACGCTTTCAGGAAACTTTTTTTCCATTCAAATCCGACTGGATGGAAGATACTTGTACGTCTTTGATGAGAAATGTTTATCCACCGACAAATGCGGGAATATGTTCAATCGACAGGTCTATAATCGCGCACGCTCCTCCACGGCAAAAGATCTGGCTCTTCCGATGCAATTGTCCGACACGGCGATGGGAAGTATCATCGAGGATGAGATTAGCGTGAGTTTGGAATAAGTGGAAATCTGAAAAAAAGATGATTTACTTTCTCTTCAAAAATATCTCGCTGTTATGGGCGACAGAGAATTTTTAATGCAGTAAATACCAAAAAAAGAAAGAAGCCCAACTTACGTCATATTGTCATTTTTTAGATACTCTTACTGTCCAAACCTACCATACATTTAGTTGTTGACGTATGTATAAGTGTTTACGTAAAGATTTTAATTGGATGTAGAAAGCAAATTACGTTTTTATCTTTGGTCGGTCCTGTGAGAAAGGTTGAAAAACGATTTGGAGGGTCGATAGTTACCGAGTTTTGAGTTACGAAGAAGTTGCGTTGCTTAGTCAATATTCCATATTTGCAGCTCCTCTTTTCTATCATTATTTGACATTCTTCTTCTTTGAGGTTTAGCACTTCTCCAGGTATTTCTTTCACATCCAAGTTTCCATTACGTTGAGTGCTTTGGCACACGATTTTTTGTTCAATTTGACACATATGTCCTACTGAATGATATTGGATGTTGTTGTGTTTGTACACGTCCACGTGTTGCAGTTTACGTCGTTGATTTGGAAAGGTACGCGACGAAGATAAAGTTTGTGGACACAAGGTATAGTGATGGGATCCTGAACACTGTTTACATACGGAACCGCAATTGTGCCCTTCTTGTAGAAACTGGAGGCAGCGAAAACACCGATTTATTTTTCTGAGTTTGTCTCCCTTTTGATCGAGTGAATATAGAAATTTTATGTGGAATGGCACCGTGCAAAAATTAGCCCGGCGACTTTCCGGAAGGAGTAGCAACATTGACACAAAAAAGAACAAATTATTACTTCCTAAAAGTTTCGTGAAGGATTCAACAGGAACAATATAATAATAAGTTTATTTTTCTCATTAACAAGAACATAAAAAAATAGGAAAACGATATATCGTGCACGATATACATGATGCCCAGTTATTTTTTCCAACGACTTTTTGGATTTTGCGAGTAACATTAATGTTGGACGAAAATATAAAACATCTAATTTTTCCAAAATAAATTTTTATAAAGCGTAGGCAATTTATATAATATAGGATATTACCTTACACTTCGTCCACTAATTCCAGTTGTTCCTGGTCGGAAGGCGAAGTCGGCGATGCCTGGTAGTTCCACACGGACGGCTGTACCGGATAATTGTAAACTGATCGTTGTAAACTGATCGTAAAATACGACTGTTTCTCGGTATGAGGTGAATCTTCCTCCCTTCTTCATCCACTTTTTGGAACTTATTTAAGACTGCTCTTAGTCCGTGGTCTTGATCTGCCAATCCTAGCTCCATTATTTTGAGCAGGAAGGCCCATACCATCACTGGTCGCAAATTGTCGATGTCCTGGACAGTCGTTGTACTACTAACGAATTCTCGCCTGGGTTTGACATAAAATTCCATAAGCAATGTTCCTGCCGTTGGAGAGTATTCTGCGTTGAACTCCTGGATCCCGAAGGATGTCATATTGTCGTCCATGATTCCTTGTAGGGTCATTCCTTGATAAAGGATTGGTCTCCTCTTTGGTTTCTTTAGGAGCAGGCTCCTGTAGAGCTCTCTGGTTGGACGGTGCACCGCCATTGTGATGTTGTGCAGTTCGGTGGATGAGCCGATCCCAAAGTATGGTAAGGTCAGATTAGACACGACGTCTGGTCGACATTCGCTTGAGATGTTGATTAATATCACGTCCGTTACTGGGTTTGGGTTTGGTTGGCGAGGCGGGTAGACCAGAAATAGATCGCTATCTACCTGGTCAAGAAGGAAGATTTGTTGGATTTCTCATGTCTTCTTCTTCTCAAATTCCTTTCGCAATCCTTTCCGATTATTACACAGCGACAGGAAATTTATAATGCAGTTGATTGAGAAAAAGAAAGCTAACTTACGTAGTATACAGGTGTTTGGAAAACGTGAAAGCTAACTTACGCTGTATAGCAATGATCGGAAATTTAAGGAGAGTTCCGGGTAAATTCAAATTTTTTGGCCACGAGGCTTGACCATGCCTTTGTTACCAAATTGTACCAATTGATAGTATTTATTCCTCAAAGTCTAGCTTGGGTTAATGAAGCAAAATGATAAATATCACGAAATCTATGTACTAATTATAATAGCCGCGAGTTATGTTACGTATCGTGATGTTTGTTGCGTTATTCGTGTGTGCTGAATCCTTCAAAACATTACAATGATTGTTGTTTTTGCGCCACTTACGGTTCTTGGTGTTTTACGTGGGTTATAGCTTGTTTTGCCAGTGCCAATAAGGGGCCCAAAGTTGAACGGATGGGTCCTGAAGCTGACTTGTATTGGCTCACTGCTCCCGCCGGGACCTCCATTTTATAAGCCATATCTTATGAGTTCGTTTGGTTTTGTCCTACATTTTCCATCACCGTAAGAGCAGGTTGACATGTCTACCATAGCAGTTGTGGCCTTCTCTGATCCAAAGTTTCCAAAGATTTTAATTGGATGTAGAAAGCAATTTACTTTTTTATCTTCTATTATGTCCAATAACAGTCAAACAAAGTCAATAGAATTAATATCTGCCAATCGTTTGGAGTCCTGTAATTTTTCGGTGATCTTTGCCGGCAAATTTTGGCATAAAATATATTCGAAGTACTCAAGGGGAAGTTACGGAGGACGTCTTGTTTGTTCAACTGTTGTCGTAACGCATCAACTTCCAGCACATATGACTTTAGATTCGGTGGTGAATTAGATTGTGGCCTCAATTTATGCAACCGATCTATCAGAGACTGTCTGATGCGGGTAGATTGGCCAACCCGAACTTGCAACGTATGTAATGCGAGGTCATAATTCTCAGCTGTGACCGTGTACCCATCCACCGCCTTTTTTGCATCGCCTTGTAAACCTGACAATAGATATTGGAACTTTGATAAATATATTGGAGAGGGTCTGATTGTCATGTATTAAGGACCTGAAGGTGTCCCAGAATGCCGTCCGCATAGATTCATCTCCTTTAAATATGGGCAATTGGATCTGTGGCAACTTAACTCACGGTTCCGTGTAGTTGGATTTTTCCTTTGTTGTTGATGGCTGCTTGGTATTGGCATTGCCTCCATACAATTTATTTAAGGCCACGTGTACTAGTCTTAATTGTTCACTTATCTCTGTCTTCATATCCTCCAGATCGTTGATCGTCTTAGTTAATTCCATTTGCTCGTTGACCTTATCGTATAATTCTTGCTCCGCTGTGATTGCCATCTCGTAGTTCATTTAAAAGCGTTAGCCATTGTACATGATGCCCACTTATTTTCTCCAACGACTTTTTTACCTGCCTTTGTAACGTTTCGAACTTACGAACCTCAGCCAATAAAACGTTCTCTTCGCGAGATGTTGTTTTTACGTACAGTTCTTGTTTTTTCACGTGACAGTGTCAGCTTTTTTGGAGTCAAATTACGCCCGCACTGGGCGAAACACTTTGATATTATACTAGACACCAGTTTAAAAAAAAAGTGAATTAGTGATGTCGGAGTGAATAGAAAATAAGGGTTGTTTATAAAGGATATTTTGGTCCTGCAAAATAGTTGTTTACCATAAAGGATATTTTCGGGCTTCCTATCAGCCTGGTGACGTCACAACAACACATTTTAAGCTTGTAGTAGACAAGCGTTTTTTCGCAACGCTTTTGTCTTCTCTAAGCGTAAAAAATGAGTAAGTTTCTATGGTATGTATACCTCTGTATACCTCATTTATTAGCTCCAAATCCTGCAGCTCCATTTCCGTAGTACCCGGCCACAAGGACAGAAAATTTGTAATGCAGTTGTATGCCAAAAGAAAATTAAACTTACGTAGTAATATCGTGAATGGAGGATGTAGCAGAGGGTCTATTATATGTAAGAGCGAAGGAATAAGAATTTTTTCTCGAGCTCGAGGATTTTTGCTGGATTCGCTTTCAAAAGGTAGCGGAAACCTCAATTTGCGACCTCCTAAAGAAGCAAATCGGGTTTTTTTCGCGACCTCCACAACAAAGGAGGTAGCAATTCTTCAGCAACAGCAAATTTATAACGCAGAGATCTCAAGAATTCATCCCATCTGAACTTCGCTTGCGAATTGCTAATTGATCTACCTTATTTCGATCAGTTAATCGCTTCTGTTGAATATTTTTTTGCGTCTGAAGTGACAGTAGAAGCTTGCGGATATAGCTTGTTGTTAAACTCGTTAACGGGGTGAGAACTCCTTTACGACGCATATTTCCACGATTTCCTGTTTCATTAGATCTTGAGCGTGGGGTTGCAATGAAGCCGCCGTAAAGTCGTTACGGTAAAAAACGATTGTTGTTTTGATGGTCAATTCACAGAGTATATAGTAGCTTAATTACGCCCGTTTCGTAAAGGCATTGTGAAGTCACTTCGTTTCATCTGTAAGCGGCTTAATGCTATTGGTTGCAGGGGTGGTTGAATAGGCAGGAAGATATTTTGAGACAAATGCGGGACTTTGCACTTGTCCCAGGATCACTATCTTTTGGTCTCTTACGGCACCTGATGGATTGCATTGCACCATTCCATTTACATCCATCGATTTGGTCGTCTTTCTGGTAGCTTCACATGTGATAAAAATGATGTAGAATTACGAGTAGAGAGAGTTTATATTAAGAGAAGATAAACTTCAGTCGTTTATTGGTCTTTTCTTGATGTTCCGAGCCGCTATTCTTTTCCTCCAGATGTTTGTTCTGTATTGTAATCGTCATTTATGACGATGATGGATCCCTCTTCCGAGAGTTTGTTTTGCGAATATGGATGCGGCAGGACAAGCCTTCCTTCCTTTGTCATCACTTGACAAAAGTTTAATTTTTTTGTTATGACGTCGGTGTAACTTATCTCTATCTCCAATATCCCTCAGATCGTTGATCGTCTTGGTTAATTCCGTTTGCTCGTTGAACTTACGTATACTTCTTGCTCCGCTTTTTGGTTGCCACAGTTCATTTAAAGTACGCACTTCTGGAAGCCTGGCAATACACTTGGCCACCTGCAGATTAATTCCCGTCGGGACCCGTGAAATATGAATTTTTTCCCACGACCCCCCTCGATTTTTATAGTTTTGCGGTAATATTTTTCACGGCTTTTTCTTACTGCGTGTAAAACATTTTTGAGGTGCCGGCATGATTTCAGGATTAATAACAGTTCATTGTTACTGCAATTCTCGCTTGAGAATTGCACCTTCATCTTCTTTTTTTCGATCAGTTAATGGCTTATGTTGATATTTTTTTGCGTCTGAAGTGACAGTAGAAGCTTGTTTATATAGCTTGTTGTTAAGCTCGTAAACGGGGTGAGAACTCCTTTACGACGCATATTTCCACGATTTCCTGTTTCATTAGATCTTGAGCGTGGGGTTGTAATGAAGCCGTCGTGAAGTCGTTACGGTAAAAAAAGATTTTTGCTATGGTAATCGATGAAAAATGTTGTAGAATTACGAGAAGAGAGAGTTTATATTAAGAGAAGATAAACTTCAATCTTTTGTTACCGATTTACAGTATGTAGCTCTATTTTAGGAATATAAAAAGGTTCTCCCGAAAGCAAGTCAAAAACAAAAATGAACAATCTTATTGTAATGTATTTTGGGGGCGGGGCATGATCGGGGAAGGTGCCTCTATTCGAGTTCGGCGAAGACACTTTTATTGGTCTTTTCTTCATGTTCCGAGCCGCTATTCTTTTCCCTCGAGATGCTTTTTCTGTATTGTAATAGTCGTATATGACGATGATGGATCTCTCTTCCGAGAGTTTGTTTTGCGAATATGAATGCGGCAGAATAAGCCTGCCTTCCCTTGTCATCACTTGGCAAAAGATTAATTGTTTTGTTATGACCTCGCTATAACGTCTGACAGGGCTTCATACACTTCTGTTCGCGTCTCGCATTAAGTAGGCCGGTAAACGGATTACGCCAAATTTCACAATCGCGGCTATGCTCGGTCGCGGTCTTCGATTTGTTTCTGATATTACGCTGTCCCTGAAAAAAAGCGCTTGTTTAAATTTAAGCAGTCCCTGTAAGCGCAAACTCAAGGAGATTTTTTAGCTCCCGAATGGAGACACGTCGATAGATGGAGCATCACTGTTTGGGTCACAGCGCAATGGGTCGGGATTGATCCATTGTATTCAACACTTGAAACTGGAAACACGTAATTTTAAGGATAATATACATCTCCAAATTCTTCCAAATTATTGCGCCCCGTGCAATAAGTCAATAAAGTCTAGTGGTGTCGAAGATTAGTCCAAAAAGGTTATACACGGTAGTTTATTTGAATAGAATCAGCGTATACAATTCCAGAGTAGAGGAATATACCTTACTTCAGTTTTCGTAGGCGACTCCTCTAAGATGGCTTGGGCCGGGTTTATATACTGCTCAGATGAGGGCAATGTAAACATTATTTCATAACAATTTCGAAATTTAGACAAATATGTCGTGACATAATTCGTTTCTAGAATGCGATAGATTTGTTTCGCAATAATTTCTGCGTTAGAAAAAAGCGAAGAGAGTTATTTTCGCGTTTCGCGAAAAGAAGAGAGAAATGACGAGAGTTGCGATACAATCCAACAAAATATTTGTTCAGAAAAATCAAAAATATAGGACGCAGCTCGAAGTCTCTATTTTCAATTTACAAAAAAGAAGGTTTTGCGGATTACATTGATTAATTACGGTTATATTTTTCAAACGCTCAAAATTGTGTCACAAAAACTTTTTACGTTTGGGTATAGTAATTGTAACTTTGAAACTGTCTACAAAAAAAATATTTTTCTAAAAATTCAAAATATTTTGGTAGTCAGGTTTGTGGTGAAATAGACGGATGAATCATCTTGCAGCAAATTCTGGAGCTCGGTTACGGGTGTTTGTTGGCCGCCAGACTTGTAAATCGTCTGGCTCAAGATTGGCAGATGAATGGGTACGATCTGGTCAATATAGGTTTGTATCTTACGAACTGCTTCGGATCTCCTACGGCAAAAGGCCCATCTTTTTGTTGACTCCCTTGGCCCAAGGGCCAAGAGCCGTTACTTTATCTTGGCCCGTTTACTGTAAGTCTAGGTGTTGTTGGTTTATGGAAAAGGGCAATTATGTATTTTGATCCGTGATCTTCCATTGGTACAATTTTGTCAGTCTCTTTAGAGCGTAGTTTGAAAATTACGGCACATTCTCTGCCTATATATTGCGACAGTGGAAAAATTTTCCAACTAAAAAATACAATTTTCATGAAATTTGTGCTTAAAACTTGATGAAAACTTACGAAATTATCTGAATATTGATCAAATACCGCTGACGTTGAACATCTGTAAAACAAGTTCAGATATGGAGTCCTCACAAGGGAATGGACTTTATGTGTAAATCGATTTTGGCTTGAGACCTGGTCAGATCGAAAGGTGTGTGGTAGTCGATTATTCACTTGGGGGGAAATCTCTGCGCGGGGCTTCAAAGCCGAGAAAATCGGCTTCAAAGTTTAGACGAAAATCGAAGGATAGGGATCCCGGAAAAGGAGCTATAAAAAGTGTGAAGCAGTGGCCGAGTGGTCAGTGCGCTCGCTTTTTGCGCAAAAGGTTGCAGGTTCGAGTCTTTCCAAGCTCAAATCATTATTATAGTTTTTTACTTCTGCTTTCTTCGTGCTAATCCGGCTGTACATTTAAAAAAGTGGTATACAGAAAAAAGTTAACATAATGGAAAGTTGTTTTTGAATACATCAGGTTGATGTTGTGCTCTGCGCTCTAAAACTGTAAAAGGAAAGTGCAAAGCCGTTGAAAATGGAAAGGTTCCGTTTAAAATATGCTTCTTGCATCGATAATCGAGTTCAAGGGAAAAAATTAATAGAAGTTTTTGTTTAAAAAAGTTATGAATGGAAGCAGATTCGAACTTGCGACCTTTTGCGCAAAAAGCAAGCGCACTGACCACTCGGCCACTGCTTCACTCTTTTTATGGCTCCTTTTCCGGGATCCTATCCTTTTCCTTTGATTTTCGTCCAAACTTTGAAGCCGATTTTTTCGGCTTTGAAGCCCCGCGCAGAGATTTCCCCCCAAGTGAATAATCGACTAACACACACCTTTTGATCTGACTATGTCCCAAGCCAAAATCGATTTACACATAAAGTCCATTCCCTTGTCAGTTGGCCAGGTGGGAATGATTGGGTTATGGCTTTATTATGGTTTGTTATGCCGCTGGGATCACTTTGAATGGTACCCTAAAGTCCAATTTAGCAAGCCGAATTTGCTTGTTCACATCGATGTCGAGTTCTTCTACGTCAGTGACAGTCTTAGTGAAATAGTAAAATCTGTCTGCGCTTTCGTGGGCCATAATTTTTCGGGTTTCATATCAGTCTTGAACCTGGTGACGTCACAACACTCCCCTCCCTCTGCGTTACGTCCAGGAGGTCTTCTAAATATCTGTTTGGACGTTTTATGGTGCTTGGTTCAAGGAGCAGTTCTATTTGTTCTTCTTGAGGCTGAAGACGTACCGGGCTCGCTTCTTCGAAGGCTTCTAGAGAAAAATATACTTCTATTTTCTAATGACTGGACTACGGCTATTACGGTAACCCAAATTATCCAGATTTTACGAATAGGTAGTATCCCGTCTACGTATTCCAGTAAATCCTCTTGTATGTCTTCGTGGGGACTGCACGTATTTTAGTTGGTTTCTAGGATGTCTACATGTGTTTCTGTCGCATTTTCCATCTCATTCAAGACTTCTTCTTGGTTGTTTGACAGTTGCATTGGTATGAACGGTAGCGAATAACAGAAAAGGCATGATAACATCTTTGTTTTGGGAGTCTTACATTGTGTTGAATATTTGCATACGATCGCACTGGGAAGGGGTTTTCCTTTCGTGTCTTGGCCATTTGTTCTTCTTCCTTGATCATGTCAAAAAGCTCATTCTTCCTTGATCATGTCGAAAAGCTCATTTGTCGCAATGCCGTTGTTACGTTCCGTAATTGGTCCATCTCGAGCAGATATGTTTTTTGATTATTTCAAATTAGTTTTGAAAATCCAGATGCGATAAAAAAATCTTTCGCAAGATGAAACGAAGATCGCATTTTGCGAAACTTCCATTCAAAATCCTTTTACGAACATTGAGCCTCGGTACCCACAGAAGCTTATTTCACGTACAAAGGTATGGCCCAAGATGCTCTGCCAAAGTCCATAAAAGAATCAAAAGGGAAAAAGAAGGTTACTCCAGTTACTACTCTACTTTTTTCTCACGTTTTCTCTTTTTTTTCTGCGGTTTTGCTAACTCTAGTTACTGCCTATTTGCACGTGAAACAAGCCTCCGCGGCTAGAGAGGCGGTGCTGTAAGGGTCGAAAAAGATTTTGAATGGAAGTTTCGCAAAACGCGATCTTCGTTTATCCTTGCGAAAGATTTTTATTGCATTCTACGTTTTCAAAATTATTGTAAAACAATGTTTACCTCGCCCAAACCCGACTAGTATAATATATAAACTCGGCACATGTCGCCATACGAAACAAGCCCGATCCCTCTAAAAATACATTTCCAGATTGAGCACTACATAACGCTTCGTCATCAATTCGGGTCCGCTTACAAGTCCACTGTCCGTTATCACGCCGCGGATGGCGTACTTGGCCTTCAGCAAGGTCCAAATATCCAAAGTCCCTTCAACAATTTTCTTCGGCGAATTTCCGCGCAACAGTTTACAATCTTAACTGAGAAAATTGATGATCCTGATCGAAAACGGGTCCTGCGACCACCCGGAAATCTGGGCTATATAACTTTTGGCGAGATGGATACAGTGAACTGCGCTAGAGATCATATTGTAGCGCCTAGTGTGAACTCAAGTAGCTGGAATTTTAGGATTAACCGGTAAGAGGAGCCCTCGTATTTCTTGTTGCTGTTATTTACCCTTGATTTTATCACTATTTCAGAGTGTTGATCGCAAATTTCGTCGATCAAACAGAATTTATTGCCACTGTAGACCCAGCAGAAGCGTTTACCCTGGTCCCGCGACAAGTAATGCTGCAGATTCTCTCGATTTTTGGCGCTACACCTATTCGCTCGAACATAACAACTTATTCTATTCGAAACACTGAGAATTTACCGACCATCTACATTGATATTGCTGGCTATCAGCTGGCCTGGGAGCCACAATACTATATGATGGTGGGTGATTGTACAGTAATTTTTTTAGTGATTATTTTAAGCATTGAAATGTCAAATTTCAGGGCAAAACATTAGCAATAATGCTGAATCCGCGCGATCGAGTTCTCGGCGAGCCCAGCTGGGTGTTCGGGAACAACTTTCTAAAACAATATTGTGCCACGTTCTCGTCAAATCAGCTAATCTTCACGAGAAATATTTGGACCGAAAACACTATACAAAATCAAAATTCAGGGAATTCCATTGAAGCTTGTGATTTTTTAAGCTTGTTTTTTATAGTAGTAGTTATGTATTTGTATGGATAAAACAGTAATATATGTATAATATATGTATATACATATATATTCTCAAGTTATAAAATAGTAATATATGTATAATATATGCATGTATGTATAATATATTGTTATTAAAACAGTTATTAAAACTTTTGTGATAAGTTTCTTGTGAATTGTTTGTAATTAAACTCCTGACATAGGAACTCTGTCTTAAAGATTTCTTTATACCAAAATTACAAGCAATTTTTTTTGAATTTTTTCCTACGGTAGTTATGACAGTATATTTTACAAAGTGTATTTTACGTTATTTTTTTTATTCAGCACGGTATAAACAACATTTTTAGCCAAATTTTTTTTTGTAATTAGGTAAAATGAATATTTCTACAATTTACGATCATAGGTCATAGATTGTCGATGTTATGGACGGTAGTTGTGCTACTGACAATCTGCCTCTTCGGTTTAACATAAAACTCCGTGTATAAGGTGCCCGACGTCGGGGAATATTCTGTATTGAATTCGAGGATCTCGAAGGATAGGCCTTGATAGAGGATAGGCTTCCTCTTAGACTTCTTCAACTGTAGACTCAGATAGAGTTCTCTGGTCGGTCGGTGTACCGCCATTGTCATGATGTGGAGCTCGGGTGCCGAGGCATTTCCAAAATTTGGCAGGGCTAGGTTGGCGAGATGCACTGGATATGTTTATCAGCACTACGTCCTGTTACGGTCCAAGTAGTTTAAAATATTTTTATTAGAATACAAATATATAGTGAAAATTTATAATCATGAAATTGAATTGAATTCTCTCTTTTCATCTGAGTTTTTATACTATACAATATGGGCGTGGTTTATATAGAAAAGAAAAAATATGGGCGTGTTAAAAGAGAAATATCATGGGTTTGTTTATAAAGTAAAGGGCATATTTCCGTTCAAGAAAAATTTTATTGTTTTTTCTAAAGTAACATAAAAGGACATAAGGACATAAAAGACATTTATTTCTGTCCTGCAAAAATATTTTCCGTTCTGCAAATCAGTCACACAGGATGCGTCACAACACGGTGTCGTAGTCATCATAAATGATGAAAAGGGGGTCGCTTGGGATATTTTGTTCAATTCCTCGATGACGTCCATCTAAAATAATAAGTAAATGTGGAGTTGTACCTATAGTTAGCTGTTTTATAGCGATGTTTTTGTGTTTGTATAAGCACAAAATTTTTGTATGTATTAAAACTTTGTATTATGCTAAGCATTCTTGTGAATTGTCTGTAATTACACTCTTGAAACATATAAGGAAGGTTTCGCTGAGTCTTCAACTTACGGCCGCTTGTATTGCGTCCACTAAAACGGGTTGCCTGGGGGTATTTGGGTAGCGGTATTCGTACCCTCAAGGGTTACGGTCTAGCCCCGCCGCTGTCTAACAGAAGTCAGTAGTCAGGCCTACGATCAACGGCCTCAGAGCGGATCTTATGGAGCCTGTTGTGGATTGGATGTGGCTCCCCGCCTGGACCTAGACAAAGCGTTGCTCGGCGAGACAAAAGAGCAAGGCCACGACAGATGTTGTTGATTCGTTTCTTCAAATTACGAAACTGCCTGTGAGTCGTCATAGAAGACAATAATCGATCCGTCTGTGGCATGACAGACCTTGTTTATTTCGTTGATGATGTCCATCTGAAATGACAGGTATTACGGGGTTTTTGTGCAGTCTGTCTTTTGATTTGAAAAATAAATAGGTTTCGACCCTACCAGGGCTTGTTGTGCGGCCAGGTTGAATGGTGATACGTTGCTTGGTGTTGCAAACGCACATTGTAGAATCAATTACGTTTTTATATTCCATCCGAGCTTTATATAAGGCTTGTGCGTTAGTAATTCGCGGCGAAATACAGGCAAAAACTTGTTTTCCTGTCTGGTAGGCTCACAGACAGTATAAGACCAGGAGACGTCACAACAACGACCATTGACATCACATTAGTCATTGCTGATGAAGCGAAAATCAGTGCAAAAATGGATGTGCAACGATTTGGAAAACCCAGAGCGGCCTTAATTATGTATCGACACTGGTTTGAAAGCGTCCGCGCTGACTTATACCCGGAGCTCCGCCCATTTTTTTCGAGAGCCAATCTGGTAACAGCTCTCAAAATGGACGCAAACGGCGTGAGAAAAACGTCTTTTTTCACGGACTTCACTTCGTATAAAAATAAAGTCGGTGGTTGATTCGTTGTAGCCACTAAACAGCTGAATTTTGAGTCTTCGTTTCAGCTGTAAGCTGAGGTATAAGTCACGTGGTGGCCTGTGAGCGGTAAAGAAAATTACGCGAATACGTATGCGGCAGTATAAACCTTCCCTCCTTCGTAATCACTTGACAAAAGTTTAATTGTTTTGTTGCGAAGTTTTTGTTTCAAATAATCCTTCCGTTTGTGACAATCCTTCTCCAAATGTTCTCCTCCATTGCAATACTGACAAAATAATCGCGCTTTACAACTGCTGATGTATTCACCCGACTCTGGCTTGCGCGAATTTATTGCAGGCCGGGTAGGTGAAAATCCTGATGCTGGTTTGCAATTGGACCGACGTTTTCAACCGTGGGTTGAGGAATTGGTCGATTATTTTGAGACGGACCGTTCCAAAAGGCACTTAGATGCGCTGGAGCAGGACTGTTTAAGTAATTCTCGGCTTCAAATGATGGATTTTGCCGGGGTTGATACCAGTTTCCTTGGGGTGGTTTTTATGCAATTCCGCGGCGAGTGCGGTGCGTAGCCGCCGAACATCGTATAACTTTCTTGTAAATCGAGAAGGCAGGAATCGGATAGAAACTGATTAAATTTGTGATTTTTGGAGCCCATTCCCATCCGTTTTTCTGAAACTTGAAAGAAGTGATGACAAAAAAAAGGCTATTTTGTGTATGAGAAAGGAATTTCCTTTACGTGAAACACTATAGATAGTGGTATAAAGATTGCCGAAATTTCCTCAAAAAACGAGGTTTTACAATGTGCAGGATGTCCTGTGCGATGTGATGTCTGCGACTGTTTTCTGTTCGGATAACCCATCAAAGTTTGGAATTTCGTGAGGCTTGTTGTACCATGGATATTGTGTTCATCTTTCTACATATTTCTGAGGCATTTGTTCGAACCAATTAATTACCAGTAGTGTAATGACGTTGACCCATGGGTTGTCTTTACGGATAGAATGATACGTTCTTGATAAGCTCGTATATATGGCAGCCTGAACATTGATCTCTTCCTGAAAACCAACTTCCGTCGTCGGTGAGTACTCAGTGTTTAGTTCGAGTTCAACTACGGGTTTTCTGCCGTACAGCATTTCGTAGGGAGCTATTTTTCTGATCGGGTTTACGTTGATCTTCACCGGTTAATCACATTGTATATATAATAACTGCTAACATAATAAGATTATTGGTATTTTTTTACGTTTACCAGAACTGGTGGCGATACACTGTTGGTCCAAGCCTTATAAATCGCGGTTGTCTTTATTGTTGCAACTTTTCATCTAAATTCCTCCTTCTTCTTGTCCTTTTATGGTCGAAATCAGACTTTTAATCCATGTCAGGCGCTCCGACGGGGACGTGCTGACGTCCGCGGCCCCAATTTTTTGACGTGCCTGTTGGTGGCCTTTTCTTTTCCTAACTGCGACTTGTGGCACTCGATTTGGCCGCTTGAAACCCTGCTTTTATTCACAGTAATCTCAAAATCACTTATAAAACATTCTTACGAAACATCGTGACTCTATGTATGCACTCACCGATAATCTCGCAAAAAAAAAACAAATCCAAAAAAAAAATAATTGAGAAATTCTCTCGAAAATAGAGAATTGAAGAACGTTCATGTTCCGAAGCTGGGAAAACGCGTTTTGGTCGTGAATAGGGGAAAATACGGCCTGGTGTTACTCTTGTGAATCCAACCGACACCTCAGGTCATTTCTACGGTGAATGGTTCCACGGAACCTCTGAATGAATTGTGGCCAAGCGGTTGGTTCGCCATTGAAAGTTGGCAATGCCAGTGCCGGAAGTTTGACATTAGTGACTGGAATTGTTTCCGATGTTTGATTCGTTGCAGACCGCAGTGCAAAATTGGAAATAGAGATTTCGAGCTGCGTCCAATATTCGTTTATATTATACTTGGCACCAATTTAAAAAAAAGTGAATTAGTCATGTCTGAGGGAATTGACAAGACCTATACCATTCGAAACGTCACAGAATGAGATTTTAACACCGCAAGCTTCGCCTTTTTTGGAGTTAAATTACGCCCGTACCAGGCCGAACACTCTGATATTATACGAAAGTTTCATGTTTCGAAGCTAGAAAAGCCTTTTGTCGTGAAGACCAAAACGTGATCAATATATCCAGTGTAATATAATATTTTCAGGAATCCCGGTCCACTTGCCTCCCATGCCCGCCAGCTTGATCTGGGCTCTGTAGGGAGCTCTTGCTAACTGCTTTTGTGCGTGCAACATTACGAAGAAATCTGTAGTACAAGCATATTGACACGCGAGTCACTGCTTTTGTGGACCACGTAAGGTTCTTGACGTCGACATGTGCTTACATATTCTTTTGCTATTGGGAGCAGTGGGCCCAATGCAGATCTTGTTGGTCCTGTAGTTGATCGGGATCCGGTCCACTGAAAAACAGTGAGAGTTCCTTGACTTACGCAGAAAAATCAAGTGCAAAAGACTACACATGACTATGATTTACGTTCATGTGAGGAGCCATCTTCGTCTTGTGGACTGTCATTATAAATAACTCATCCCTGAAAAACGTTTTCTGTTCCTTTATGGCGTAGCAAAAGAGGACCAGCGTAGACATTAGGTGAACCAAAAAATGTTTTCCGATTTTTTATTAAAATTTTAAGCATAATTTTACGGCTTCCGCTGAAAGTTTTTCCTTAGCAGTGAAGGCCATTTGAATCTATGGCTTGAACAAATCTATAGACAAATTGTCAGTAAATTCTATCACAAAAATTTAGATTTGTACAGTCTTTCAAGAGAGACAGCTAACTTACGTCCAAGCTAGGTGTTCTATCAACGTTTAACCAGCGGACACTCCCAGTTTCCAAATGCTTCCTTTTATGCGATGTTTGTATGCCTATATGTTTGCCGTATCTTCTCTATCTTGTTTCCAACGCAAGGCAATTTGTTTTGACATCCACTTTAATAACGTCATTATTCTGTTTGGTAGGTCAATGTCGACTTGGCTGTGCGTTCGGTAGATAGATCTTCCTTTGACCAGCTTACATTTTCGTTCCACTATCATCTTACGTTCTTCCTCCGATAAGAGTTCAGGTGGATTTGGGTTTTCTTGAATTTTGATGTCTGTTGTCGCACAGTCATTGTTTACAGAAGGCTTACGAAAATTTCAATTTTTCGAAAGTTGAATCGCACCTAGCAACTTCTGGTATCTTCCAAAGGACTCTTGTCTTTCCATGCCATACCTTTGGCTAATTTAGTTGTCCATTTGCACAATGTCTGTTCCTTTTCCATGTCGGCTTTTGTCTTATATTGCAATTCTTCTTCATCAACTGACTTTTCTTTGGTCGTAATGCCATCAAATTACGGAGAAGCTTGTCGGAAATCCAGTATTGTTTTTTGTAGATGATTACGGGACGTTGTTTTGCCGTTTCCGCATACAACAACACATCGTAGAGATTCAAAAATTACGTACGTGTGGTGTTTATATGGATCCATGAGGTCTCGCTCTCTCAGTGTTGGGGAGATCGTCTTCGGTCTTCCCCGAGTTCTCCTCTTAGCCCATCCAGGATGACATCCTCGGTGTCGGTTGTTGTGTTGACCGCGCGGTGACAAATGTTCCCGAGGTCGACTCGGAGTCGTGCTGTTCCTTACGAACCTAAATTTACGTAACAGTGCTGATGGACGAATTCGGCGGACGACCGATTTGTCCTCTTACGAAATACTCTCGTCGAAGTTAATGACGACCGGTGGCCTGTGCTACTCAGTCTTTGGTTCAGCTGCAGGCTCGGGCTTCCTCTTGAATCGTCTTTGGAGTCATTCAAGGTACTTTGGCAATTGACGCGATGTGGACACAAGGTATAGTGGTGTTGTCCTGAACACTGTTTACATACGGAACTCGCAACATACGGAACCGCAATTGTGCCCTTCTTGTCGAAACTGGAGGCAGCGGAAACATCGATTTATTTGTCTGAGTTTGTCTCTCCTTTGATCGAGTGAATATAGACATGAATATTACGTAGCTGTGGTCGTGTCCCATATAACATTACGTGTGTCGACGTGTTATATGCATAGCAGTACAGTGTTGCAATCATGTTTGCTAAAATTACGTCTACTTGTCCATTTGCGTCCGGGTGATATGGTGTTATAAAGTATGTTCCATTGCGAGATGACTTGCCAATCTCTGAAAAATATCAGTAGCAAATTCTGACCCATTGTCGGTTACCAGTCGAACAGCTCGGCAAATTTCTTCCATTTCTTTCTTCTAAAAAATGGCTCGGAATAAAGCCGCAGTAAAATTTTTACGAGTTCGATCACGTTGTCCCCTACCATTTGGCTGTCATAAGGGCACATTCTCCTGTGTGTGTGTTATAACTTGGGTTTATATACTGGTCGGGTTAGGGCGATGTAAACATTATTTCGCAATAATTTCGAAATTTAGACAAATATGTTGTCACATAATTCCTGTCTAGAATGCGATAGATGTGTTTGTTGTCCAGGATTGGAGAAGTTTTCAACACTTACGCATGCCGTTTGGACTGACTGCAGCTTCTTCGACAATGCAACGGATAATGGACCACATGAAAGCGGAATTAACAGCTAAGATTTTTATTTATTTACATGATCTTTGTGTTTCTAGTACACACGAAAACGATCACGTTAGAGACTTAGAAGAGGTTTTTCAAGCGTTAAGGGCCAAAGGATTAAAACAGTCCCTTAAAAATTGTTTTTTCGGCCGCGCCGAAGTAAAATATCTAGGATTTTTGCTCAGCGAGAACGGAACTCGGCCGTTGAAGCTGAGGCGCTCGCAATGGTATTTGCGCTGAAGGAATTGCGTCCTTACATCGAAGGACATATTCCAACGCTAATCCGGACAGACAATAGTGCCACTTACTTTTTTATTAAAAAGGAAGGATCTGCAAGGTAGATTAGCAAAATATCAATTAGCTACACAACAATATAATATTCTAATTGGGCGCAGATCGGGAAAATCTAACTCTTTCGCAGATTACGTTTATATAATATAGGATGTTACCTTACACTTCGTCCGCTAATTCCAGTTGTTCCTGTTCGGAAGACGAAGTCGGCGATGCCTGGTACTTCCGCAGGGACGGCTGTACCGGGTAGTTGTAGACGGGTCGTAAAATATGACTGGTTATCGGTATGAAGTGAATCTTCTTTCCTTCTTCATCCGTTTTTTGGAACTTATTTAAGACTGCTCTTAGTCCATGGTCTTGGTCTGCCAACATTCGGCGCTGAACTCCTGGATCCCGAAGGATGTCATATTGTCGACCATAATTCTTTGGAGGGTCATTCCTTGGTAGAGAATTGGTTTTCTCTACAGCAGACTTAAATATACAAAGAGAGAGAAAGGGCGAGGCCGGACGCACGGCAGTGTTGCACGCCGTAACAAGTGCCTTGTGACTGTACAGTCTTTTTTACGTTTCGTGGACAGATTTGGAACGCATTCAAGCTAGTTTGTGTTGAAGAACCACACGGTCTTTTCTGATTTCTTTATTGTAACTAAAGCTCAAATGGCAAAATGAAAGAATACTGTGTGAAAAGACAGTTCTTTTGGCCAATGAGGCTTGTTGAGTGAGTGCTCCGAGCATCAAGTAATATCCATTTCTGTTTAGCAGTAATTGTGATATGCTATCTGTGCGTTGTTTGTTCGATTCGCAAGTATTGGGTAACAGAGATAACACCGCGGAATACCTAAAGCGATGAAACAAATTAACAATAATGATATTATAAGTCGGGTACCCCCCTGAATGGTACGACTCTTGTACTCACCTGTGACGGGAAGAGCGTCTTCAGTCTTCCCCGAGTTATCCTCTTAGCCCATCCAGGGTGACATCAGCGGATACTCAAGTTAACGGGATCTATTCTTATTCTCAAACTGCACTTACAATCTTCCAATCAATTACAACAATTATGTTTATTTAAAAGCTACCGTATACAAATAGACGAAAGTCCCCTTTCACAATCCGTTCCCCCCGTTCTTTTTGGAACGGGGGCAGACTTAAATATAGAGAGATAGAGAAGGGGCGGGGTCGGACGCACGGCGGTTGCACGCCGTAGCAATCGTCATGTGTATGGTGCAATATTGCAAAAGACAGAGTTTCCATTACGTCATTGAAGTTTCTCAACCACTTTCGGAAGTCTATGTATTGTCGGTTGTTCCATGGAAATGGACAATTATCTGTCTTGATCTATAGCCTTAGATTGGTGCAATTTTTTGTCAGTCGCTTTGGAGGGTAATTCGAAAATTGCAGGATATTATAACCGGTGTTTACGAAGCTTTGAAGTACTTTTCTGAGCGCGAAATCCACATGCCTTGTTATACCCGAGTTTTTGAGGATGTTTTCCAGTTGTTCCATCTGGGGGTGGCGTCCGGGCTCCAATCTTCTCTCGACGGTTTTGCCGGGTAATTGTAGACGGTGTCTTACGTTGAATTCCAGTCGTAGTTGGTATGCGCAAGTTGGGGAATACTCTGCGTTAAATTCCATGACTTCGAAAGATTGGATCGAATTTTGTCTTTTGTAAGCGTAAGAAATTTATAGAGAATATTACGTTATACTTCATCCTCTAATTCCAATTGCTCCATCTGGTCAGAGGGTGGAGTAGGTGAGGCATCAGAGGTCCACAGGGACGGCTGTACAGGATAATTGTAAACTGATTGTAAAATACGACTGTTTATCGGTATGAAGTGAATCTTCCTTCCTTCATCCATTTTTTGGAACTCATTTAAGACTGCTCTTAGTCCGATCCATTATCTTGAGCAGGAAGGCCCGTACCATCATTGGTCGCAAATTGTCGATGACCTGTACGGTCGTTGTGCTACTGACGAATTCTCGCCTGGGTTTGACATAAAATTCCATAAACAATGTTCCGGCCGTTGGAGAGTATTCTGCGTTGAACTCCTGGGTCCCGAAGGATGTCATATTGTCCTCCATGATTCCTTGTAGGGTCATTCCTTGATAAAGGATTGGTCTCCTCTTTGGTTTCTTTAGGAGCAAGCTCCTGTAGAGCTCTCTGGTTGGACGGTGCACCGCCATTGTGATGATGGGCAGTTCGGTGGATGAGCCGATCCCAAAGTATGGTAAGGCCAGATTAGACACGACGTCTGGGCGACATTCGCTTGAGATGTTGGTTAATATTACGTCCGTTACTGGGTTTGGGTTTGGTTAGCGAGGCGGGTAGGCCAGAAATACGTCGCTATCTATCTGATCAAACAGATAGATCTGTTGGCTTTGAAGATTTATGTCCAACACGTTTGTGGGAGCCACAAATGTATGTGGCAGGGCCAGTTTTTCCGCATGCTCCGAAAGGAACAGTCCGGTGTCACCTGGTCAAGAAGGAAGATTTTTAGTTGTGCTACTAACAAACTACCTCTTCAGTTTTACGTAAAACTCCATGAATAATGTTCCCGACGTTGGGGAATATTCTGTATTGAATTCGAGGATCTCGAAGGATAGGCCTTGATAGAGGATGGGCTTCCTCTTTGGCTTCTTCAACCGTAGGCTCAGATAGAGTTCTCGAGCTGGTCTGTGGACGGTCATCGTGATGATATGGAGCTGGTTCCACGTCGTAATTCTTCTTCTGCTCGTGTAGACTGCGCCAATTGTTGCATCCTTTACTGTGCCTCTCGACGGCCTGTGAGCGGTGAAATTACGCGAATATGTATTCGGCAGTATAAACCTTCCTTCCTTCGTAATCACTTGACAAAAGTTTAATTGTTTTGTTGCGATATCTGCGTAACCACCGAACAGTGATAACCTTCTTGTAAATCGAGAAGGCAGGAATCAAATAGAAATCGATTAAATTAGTGATTTTTAGAGCCCATTCCAATCCGTTTATATGAAATTTGAAAGAAGTGATGACAAAAACAAGGTATTTTGTGTATGAGAAAGGGATTTCCTTTACGTGAAACAATATGGATAGTGGCATATAGATTGTCAAAATTTCCTCAAAAAACTAGGTTTCACCAAGTGGAAGCTGTGCCATTCGATGAGATGTATGGACTGTTTTCTGTTCGGTTCACCCACCAGAGTTTGGAATTTCGTGAGGCTTGTTGTACCATGGATATTGTGTTGATCTTTCTACATATTTTCATTTTTTTCTCGATTGAAATTTGTCCCTATTTGGGATCTCACGGGCCCCCTTTACGAACTGTTTGGATAGTTCATGTGTTGAAGTCAGATTTCCATAACGCTTATCGGCGTTATTACGATCCGATCGTCAAAATTGATACCGCAGGTTCTGCCAACCGGCCCGGGGTTGATTTGGCGCTGCGGGCAGGGGAGAAATTAATCCGAATCGACTTGGTCGAATAGAAAAAGTTGTTGTGTGTTACGTCGCTATTCACCTGGTCAAAAAGGTAGATTTGCTGATTCTGCAAATTTATTTCCAACGCATTCTTCGGGGACACAAAAGTGTGCGGCAAGGATAGCTAAAAGAACTACCTTTAAAAAGGTAGATCTGTTGGATTTGTAGATTTATGTCCAACGCGTTTGTCGGAGCCACGAACGTATGTGGCAGGACCAGTTGTTCCGCACGCTTCGCTAGGAACCTCCTGGTGTCGTAGTCATCAAAAATGATGAAGAGGGACCCGTGGGTCGCTTGGGATATTTTGTTCGATTCTTCGATGACGTCCATCTAAAATAACAAGTATTTAAATGTAAAGTTCTGCCTAAGTTCTACCTATAGTTGCGCGCTCGAATCCGTAGATAAATCACAAACGCAAAAAGGGACCTCAGCCAAAGAATAAACATCGGCCACCACACCAAAGAGACATCACAAACAACAACCGTTGCCCATGGAGTGTAATACGGCGGCTTCGGAAGGAGCAAATCTCCTGGGAGCGTCCAGCTCGGATGAACGCCAATCTTCGGATTCAAATACCTAAGCACACTACACAACTACAACACTACACCTACTGTTGACCCTACCAGAGCTTGTTGTGTAGCCAGGTTGACTGACAATACGCTTCGGGGTGTTGTAAACGCATATGATAGTCATTTACGACCATGGTTGCCATATTTGACGTTGCTGACGAAGTTGCAGCGGATTGGAGCGGCTGCGGGTTTTCTTGTCTCCTGCCGAAAACTTGCGTGCTGACTTATACCCGGAGCTCCGCCCATTTTTCGAGCGCCCAACGGGTGTAACAGCTCTCAAAACGGACGCAAAACGCGTTCGAAGGCTGATTGATAATTCGTTGCTTGGTGTTGCAAACGCACATGGTAGAATGAGTTACGATGATTTTGAGAAGTTCTCTATATAGTTATTTTTTGCTGATGAGGCGAGTTTTAGTGCCCAAATGGCCTGTCAGCGATTTGGAAAACCCGGTGCGAGTGGTCCCTTTACGAATTGCTGTCTTAGCAACTTCTGTCGGGTTGTTTCCGACATCGTTACGATTTCTTCGCGTGTTCCATAGGTGGAACTCCCTTACGAAAAAAAGTGAATTAGTGATGTCGGAGTAAATTGACAACACATATACCGTTCGAAAGGTAATCGAATGAGATTTTAGCACGGCAAGTTTCAGCTTTTTTGGAGTCAAATTACGCCCGGGCCGAACACTCTGATATTATACTTGGCACCGAAAAAAAGTGAATTAGTGATGTCGGAGTGAAGCTGCTGATGGGCTTCCGTAATGGGCGAATACTTTTGTTTCTACCAGGAGGCAGTTTCTCTTGATATCCACCCTTTCTCCATTTTAAGAATGTCATAATTCTGTTTGGGGGATCGATGCTGACTTTGTTGTGTGTCCGGTAAATCGATCTTCCTTTTACTAATTCTCCATGTTTGCGTTTTCTTTCCGCAATCATCTTCTTACATTCTTCTTCTGATAGAACTTCGGGTGGGTTTTTCTCTTCTCGACCTTCTGGGACGCCGTTCAACAGCGTCTGTTGCCTTACGGTCATTGCCTCCAAGCGACATACATTCAGGATGATCTCGCAGTTTCTCGTGATTCCATCATTGGATTTGATTGCTCTTTTAATCCGGGCCATTTTCCATTCTCCTCTCGGTTTTTCTGGTTCTGGTCTCGGAATGAGAGTTTGTTTCTCTTGGTAGTTTCCACGATCGGCAAGGTATTCCTTTCTCCATCGTGCCCAAAACTTGTCGAGCCTATACGTAGGTCGTGTTCGCCCCAGAGTGCGCTTAATTCCTTCCTTTAGACTTCATTCTCTCATACGTCACTCCGCGCCATGAAGCGTTTGGTGTGGTGTGTGTCCATGCGATATTTTGCAGATGTAGATACATTTTGCTTCCAGCGACAAAGTAGGGGGTGTTGTCGCTGAGAATATATTGTTGGACTCCTCTGCGTGCGCAGAATTTGGTCATTGCATTTAAAATCTCTTCTGTCTTGATGGAATCCGTAAGCTCCAAATGTACTGTTGGGGCTTACGGTTGGTGCGAAGACAGGCCAGTAGCAGTACGTAGGCTGGCCATCCTTTGTTCGCAATGGTCCACAGACGTCGAGTCCTGTTGATTCGAAGGCATGGGATAAACCTTTTGACCATTGTTTTTACGTATCTATATGAGATATAGAAACTCTCTCTGATTAGTCATATCACTGGCAATGCTGATTGGTGATGGTTTTCTCGCAATAGTACTGAGATTTCAGGCGCTTCGCCCCGCCATGTTTATCACAAAATCATAGTCGTTTGTCCAGTGTAATATAATTTTTTCAGGGATCCCACTCGTCTCCCATGGTCGCCAGCCTGGTCTACAGGCCGGTTCAACAATAGCCCGGTCAATGGTACATATTAATTGAAGGTGAAATATGTTTGTCACCATCATTTTACAATATCAACTGTTTGCTTCCATCTTTGTTGTTTACGAGCCTGATCGTCATGTCGATAGTGTAGCATACATAAAGAGTTCTAATGACGTTATTCTCATTATAGTTCAGTCTGTTTATTATATTTGTCGTACAGTTCTTGCTATGCGCTCTTATTAGCGTCTCGTAGTTCATTTACGTATAACAGTCATCTATTATAAGCGATGGCCAGTAATTTTTCCAAAATCTTTTTTACCTTTATATGTAAATTTCTTTATGTTGTAATCTACATGCATCGACAGGACAATAACTACAAAAGTAAGTTAAACTAACCCTCTTTCTAAACATGCCATGATTTTTTGCATTACATAAGTTTGTCCTTGCACATTTAGCCATTTTGAATAATGGATTTATTTAGGGGTTTTCGATGGCGCTTATGCGAGATAACAATGATTGATTTTTCTTTCTTTGGGTTTTTCCGATGACACTTCGCCGATTTTCTTAAATGCTACATTTTGGAAAAAAAGGTGTTCTTAATTGACCTTTCAATGCCTTCCCAACGTTTAGAAAAATTATTTTGATGAAAAAAGTTTCACACGTAGCGACGTAGTCAGGCTACCTCCCAACGCAGCTTGTATCTAAATTACAACATCAAATAAGTAAATGGAAAACACCCGCATTTACTAAAGTTAAAACCACCGTTACAATTAGCACAAAATAATTCATATTTCACAAGGCTGGTAGCCGATATTTTCTAACAAAAGATGATTTCGAACATAGTAAATAATAAACCAGGCTGTTTAAATTTGAGCCAACATATAATTTTTTTAATATTTATAATAAACTAAGAAGTTTTACCAGCACACCATAGATTAAATAAATTTAAAATAAAAACTTGTTAGAATATAGATATCTAACAAGTTTTTTTTCAAAATCACTCCCCAACATAACCCTCGCTTTTTCAAAACATACGCGATAAAAAGAGAGGTATTTTGAAGAGTATTTCCCAATCTCTTACATGCAATGAGAGAGTTGCAAACAGAAAAAATATGAAAAAGTTTCCCAGTTAGCCATGGCTCGCGAGCCGGGCCGGATATCGCGACCTGGGTATTGGACTGTCTCAAATTTCCCCTGCCCGGCTATACCCGCTAGTACTACCGTCTTGGTCTTCGATTTGCAAAAAACAACAACATTTTCGGGGCTTTGGTAGTTCAGCCCCCCCCCCCCCTCCCTCGTTCTTGTGGCCATCATTTGACACATTTATAAAATAAAAATCCCCTTTCATTTGTTTAATTTTCAGTTAGTACTAAATACAATTTATAAAATCTTTTTGCTAGTAAACTCAATTTACCGGGCCGGCTCTCTAACCAGATATGTTGTCCCAGCCCACCTCAAAAGGAAAGTACTTTTATGGGGGCTCCTACCTTTTGACGGGACATACCTCAAAAAATCAGAAAAAATGTGCTGATCAAGGATATGTAGATCTTAGCTGCCCATTTTAGGTTTTTAGGGGTGAAAATGCCCAAAAACTGGCTTAATTTCCCTACAAAAGGCGCAGGCATTCGAAACGATAAAAAGCGCAGTCGGTCTCTTCCTTCGGAAGAGAGCGGTGTGGCCGAGTGGTTAGTGCCGTAGTCTGGAAATCAAAAGGGAGGACGACGCACGGGTTCGATTTCCCTTTTGGGCCGAATCAACTTTTTTTGAAGTTGAAGGTTGGAAAAATAAATTTTTGGGCCAAGACTGATTTATTACGTCTTAAAAACTCAATAAGCACCATTTAAGCCAAAATAAAAGTTGTAAACCTGTGGAAAATTAAGCGAAAAGGGGTTCATATAGGACTTTAAGTCAACTTCCGATTGAGTTTTCACCCCTAAAAACCTAAAATGGGCAGCTAAGATCTACATATCCTTGATCAGCACATTTTTTTTGATTTTTTGAGATATGTCCCGTCAAAAAGTAGGAGCCCCCATAAAAGTACTTTCCTTGTCGGATTTGTTTCGGTCCGGCTTGGAGTCTAGGCCTACTACAATTTTTTTTTTTGATTTTTTTCACATTGTTTTGCATATTGGGAACAAAAAATATGAGTAAAAAACCTGTCTAAACTGACAAAAAAGAACGTTTAATGGCACCATTGGTGCCTTTTTTAGCTCTAGTTTATCTCCCATCATTATTATTATATTCTAACTCACGTAAAATCGCGGTTAACATCAAAAAAAAGACAAGAAAAACGGCCACATTAAAGCTGGGTGCAGCTTGGAAAATTTTTTTATTTTTGAGAGTAAATTAGAACGCGAAACTTTTATCAAACATGTTATATTTTACAAATGCAAATAAAAAATTATTATATGAGTAATATATGGGTAAAACGATTAAAAAATATTTCAAAATAACAAATAAATTTTATTAAAATGATAAGTAAAAACAAGTGTAATTTTTGCTATCTATATTACACTATAAATTCCAAAAAAATATATTTAAAAAAAAACAGAATTTTTTCCCCTTTTGTCAAAAAAAATCCATTTTTCTTTTTTTCCTATTTCTTCAAAATGAATTTCCAATAAATAAAAGACCCCAATAAATATTATATATAACATAAATGCAATTGAAAATTATTATATCAGTAATATATCCATATTAAAGTATATTAGTATTCAAAAACGCCAAAAAATAATGAAAAAACGCGAATAAATTTAAACAAACATAAATATAATTTTTTAAAAGCATAACTATGTTATTATAAGTTCAAAAAAAAGAAATAAAATTGACTATGGAGGAAAGTTCAGAGACCCCTCTGCATAAAAAGTCGTTCTCGAATTTCCCCCCTTTCCCTCCTGTTTGAAGCGAAAGAGCGGGGAAAAAGAGCGAAAAAGAGTGCCCATTGCTTTCCCCCCTTTTACTCCAAGTCCCCAAGCCCCACTTGCGTAAGATAAATGCGCAGCGCATGGACAGACAGATGGAGCAATTGATTCTACATGCATGTATGAAACGACGCCGTATTTTTCAAGCAAATTTCTGCGGTTTGCAGATTTTAATCTATTAAAGCATTAAAATAAAAATGTAAAATGAAAAAAAAAAAGAAAAGAAAAAATAGAAAAAAAAAAAAATTGCAAAATGTCCGTATTTGTCCTTTATTCTTTGATTGCTCTGCCGTTTATGAAACTCGACCTCGTCTTCTCAGCGGGTGACGTTTTATGCGGGAGAAAAGGCTTTGTCTTTTTATTGCCGTCTTTATTTAATTTTTTGAATGATTTAGCGGTAAAATTCGGTAGGACCGTATTTTGGATACGAATACTGCTTTTTAGCAGTATTTGTATCCTGGTGACATTTTATACGAACAAAGAGATTTTGTCATATGTCGCTTATATTTGATTCCTGAATTAATTAGTGACAAAGTCTAGAAGACCATATTTTGGATACGAATGCTGCTTTTTATACATTTTGGACAAGTTGGTGACATTTTATACGAAGGAAAATTTTTTATCGTATAAAATGTCGCCTGTATTCAGTTGTGGAATAATTTGCAGTGATGTTCTAAAAGAACGTATTTTGGATAGGACTACTGCTTTTTATACATTTTCTACAAGCGACATTTTATACGAGAGAAATGTTTTTGTCGTATAAAATGTCTCGTGCATAAAATTACTGGAATTATTGGTACTTCCTGTCTTTTACGCAGTATTTTGACTGCCCGTTGACTAAAAACAACATTGTTTCTAGTTTTTTATAATGAGGGAGACATCTTATACGAAAAACAAATTTTTCATATAAAATGTCGCTCATATGCGAAAAGTTGGAAACACATGTAATTTAAGAAAGCATGACACTAAATCCAATCAACTCCCTTACTAATAACACTCATTTATACAAGAAACTTGTCGAATATACAAATATACTGCATAAGGTACAAACATTGTAAACAAATACAAAGAAAACCTTAAAAGCTGCATTAAATTGTCATAGATGGCTTTCCCTCGCCCTGTTTAGGCGCTGGAAATACTATTGGAGCTAATGTTGTGGTGTTTGTGGCGTCATCAATCTCGGATACGGTAGCATTCCCAGTTGCAGTGGCGTCATCGACCGTTGAGATGGTCGTTGAAGCCATTGTAGTGGAGTCGTCGACTGGCGGGAAGACGGTTTCCGTGGTTGAGGCGGTAGAGTTCTCTAGAGTATCATTATTTTTAGTCTGCAGAAATTTGGTGACATTTTATACGTTGAATAAGGTTTTCGTATAAAATGTCACCTAATTAGATTTTTGTAGCAAGTTTCGTAAAATGCACTAAAAAAGTGTTCTTCGTATGTCTCAAATTTTTCTGCACATTATCAAATTTTTGTCCGGGGTGACATTTTATACGACGAAAATTTTTCATTCGTATAAAATGTCACTCACTGAAAAAGTGACGAAGAAATTGTAAAATACGCATCTTCCTAACCTTTCATTAATGTAAAAACACTTTTGACCCGGGGTGACATTTTATACGAAGAAAAAATTTCTTTCGTATAAAATGTCACCTCCACAAAAATTTCAAAATACAGTCTAACTCACTTTCTACGACCATCACGTCACCAGAAATCGTCTCATTACTTTCGGGTAAAGTAAGTAACATGACCGTTTTCTCCACTGTTACCAAATCTTTTCCGTCTTGACTTCTGCTGACATTTCCCTCTTTGTCGCCTTTTTTGACCAGCAAATCTTCATGTAGAGCCTTTAAAAGTTTGGCAGTGGTGTCGTCTAAGACCTCATCTTTTCCGATTTCCTGTTCCTTGGCCAGACTGATCAACGTGTTGGCTTCAGTTGTTGTAGCGGGCAGCTCCGTGGTTTCGGCGGATTCCGTGGTCCCCAAAAAGGTCAACGATGTTGTTTCGGCGGCAGCGGTGGTTGTTGTGGGATGCGTGTGGCTGGGTTCGATGACGGTGACGCTGTGGGGAAGAATGACCTCGGTTTTCTGTGAATTGGAGGGGCCTTTGGTGGTGTCGTTGGCGTCCTAAAATAAGGTTAATAGAAGTGACGGAGAATGTCATAATGGAGAAAAAATTACATAGGATGGTATTAAACGACCAATTTCACAATATTATTTTGATTTTTTCCAAAAACCAAGTCTTGGGGACATCTTATACGAAAATTTTTATTTTTCGTATAAAATGTCGCCGGGTCAAAGAATAAAACAAATTCATGTTAGCCGTGTCAAATCAGCCAAGGTTTAACATCAAAAATTACCAACAACCGCAAAATGTTCTCCATTTTCAAAATAGTGACATTTTATACGAAAAGTTTCTTCATCGTATAAAATGTCGCCCGACATAAAAAAGAAAAAAGTTTCAAGTTAGACGTGCGAAATAAGCCAAGTCTTAACATTGGAAATATCTAGCGGCCGCAAAAGGTTTTCCATTTATCCAAGGGGTACATTTTATACGAAAATTGTTTTCTTCGTATAAAATCTTGCCCAGAGGCAAAATTCGTTCTGCTTACCGTATCATTTGTCACAAAGTCGCTCATAATGGTGGTCAAAGTTCCATTCAGTAATTGTTCATCAGTATCGTTGCTAAATAACAATTCGTCATATCCATTGCTAACTCTTGGGATGGAGGTGGTCCGGCTGTCTTTGTTGTCTAAAATCATGTTGGATTTTGCGGATTTATTTACAAATAAATCAGTTTATCGGATGTCTGGTAAAATACGGGCGGTTATTCTGCAATATCAGTGATTTTGAGAGGGAATATAAGAGTTTGCTTAATTTAGTCATCATTTCTTCGAAATTTATCAAGTTCTACTCGAAAATCATGCTGTATCTTGCTGAAATTCATCATCTGAATTCAGTTTGCTCCATGTTTTGCCTAAGTATAATGATTCTGTCTGGGCTTTATCTTGCCTAAATTTGGAGCACTTTTTCTACATAAAATCATATCACACTTACCCAAGGTGTACTTTGTGAACGCCTCAATCTTGTTCAGTTTGTCCCTCAGCCTTCTAATCTCCGAGTCCAGGCTTTGACTGACCGGGCTCTTCGACGTTCCCTCATATCCATTATCGACCACAAACAGGGCTCTAGGGATGGGGAAGGGGTCCCGATTGGAAGCCGTCGTATGAACACTTTCGTATGGCGTTGCGACCGTAGTTCTCTCCATATGCCCATAAGGGTTCGTTGTGGGACGTCTTGTAGATCCAGTTGTGGTTTGAGGTCGATGATAGTAGCCGGTGTTGCTGACTTGAGTCCGAGTTTTGTATTGATTCACATAGTCCTCCCAATCGTACCCCGAACTAACGGGCTTTGTATTTCGAAGCTGGTTGACATTCAGTCCATGAGATCTTGGGGAAGTGTTTGATGCATCGTAAGGGTTATTTGTTGTAGTATATTGTGTCTCATAGGGATTCGCAGTGGTGCTGAAGATGCTTTCATCAAGAGTACTTGAGGTTGATGGTTCATATCCCGCCCTCGTTGTTTGATCTCTCCTTGGCGTCGAAGATACTTCATTATAGTTGGAGGTAGTAGAGTAAGGATCACTTTTGTACTGCGTAGGTCTTGGACTGTAATTTGAGCGACTACCGGCGTAGGGATTGCTATTTTCCCGAGAGTATTGTCGGCCATACCCCGAACTGTCGGTTGGTCGATTTGTTGGTCGGTTTTGACCACTCACAGTGGCTCCATCATATCCTCCGTCTTTATTCTGCTGTAGATTGGGTCTAGTGTACTGTTCGTAAACATGGGATGCTTTCTGGTTTGATTGATATCCGGAATTCTCGATTTCATAGGGACCTGCGCCTTGAGTTGGTCCGATAATAATTCCGGCAAATCCGGAAGGCTTTCGAGTCGATGGATGTAGGCTTCCTGGTGCTGAATCAGCATTGAATTGGGTGTATCTTGGATCTTGGTTGAGGTTTCTTCCTTGCCCTCCGGGCAAATTATAGCCACTTCTTTCGACTTGCATCAAATTTGGTCGAGTTTGGGAATTTGGTCGATTCGACCAGGTTCGCTGATTCGTCGTATCCCTATTGCCTTCTACAGTAACTCTAGAGCCCTCAAAAGGCCTATTACTACCTTGAGTAGCCGATTCAGCAGTAATTTCTGGAGTTTCACCCGTCGAAATTGTCGCCTCTGTAGTTGTTCTTTCCTGATCCTCTTGTGCTCCAAATCCTACTGTATTTCGGTTTGATGGTGACCCATAGCTGTTTATTGCTGCATCAGAATTAAACTGAGGTCGTCTACTGCTCTCCGAATTGCCGTATTCATCATTGTTCGACGAGGTGAATGGAGGTCGAGCAGTTACGTACCCAGTCTCTTCATTTGGTCCATTTCTCAAAATCTGCTGTCGGTTTTGGCCGTTGTCTCGGTTGAAGTTGTTACCAGCATAACCTGGAAGCTGACTGCCAAATTGATTGCCGGACTCGATATTGTAGCCGTACCTTCCATCGTTCGGAGCAAATTGAGGGTCTCTTTGGCTGTTTATTGGCTGAATTGGTGCCACGCCTTCGTGTGTCCGTAAGTCCGTGATATCTCGATTCTCATCGGTGTTGAACGGATTCTGATGAGGATTACGACTTAGTGGAGCGGTATAGTCATCTCTAGTTGGCTGGAATTGCGTTCTTCCCGGCAGAATTCTCGTATCTCTTCGTGGGATCTGATCATAAGGAGATGCTGACGCCGGAAGGCGAGTATCTCGTTGTGGTTCATATATTGGGGGTTCTGCTTGATCCGAGGCATATTGTAGAGCTCGATCTCTGCTTGAGTTGAACGCGACATGACCATAATGCCCTGGGGCGTTATAATTGGCATTTGAATTTGCCTCATAGCCTTGTTGGTCGATAGCTGGCGATGGTCGAATGTCCGGGCGTTCTGCGGAATAGGGCGATCTATTATTTCCGTAGGGCTTCTCAGGGCTTGCGGTAAATTCTGGTCCAGTTCGGTAGCCCTCAGGCATCTCTCCACTCCGATATCCGAGATTTGATTGGATCCCGGCAAAAGTTGGGAGATTTTGCTGATCTCTAAATCCTTGCCGATTCTGCGCCCAGAACTGTTGATTACTGCCCTCAGGCGATGTGAACTGACGATTGGTGGGTACTGTAGGCCGTCCACTTCCACGATTTGCAGTTTGCGGCATGTTTTTGCGCAAATAATCGAGAGATTGCTTGGTCACCATGGCATACACGTCATTGCTCTCTTCAATCTCAGGTTTTCGTTGACTCACTCGCGCTCTTTGGTCATTCCTTGGGCCGTTAGGGCTAGGACGAGGTCTTCTCTCATCTTTCTGGAAATTTACCGGGCTCCGGTCGAAATTTAATTCAAAGTTTTGCCCGACATTTTGATACAATCTTTCGGGCTTATCGCGATTTTCGGCGAACGGTTGACGGTTCCGACTTCTTGAAGGAATGGTAGATTGCTGATTGAAGATCACTCGGGGCGTTGTTGTTGGGCGAGATGTGGTTGTGGTCGTGCGGTAAACAGTTTGAGGGAAAGGAGTGGTCGAAGGCTCGGGAAGAATTGAAGTTAACTCTGAAAACGACAGAAATAGCTGATTAAAAATTACTAGACTTAGTAATTGTCCGGCATTTTGTCCATCTAGCGACTTCGCGATTTTTTTATTTCATTCTCCGGGGGAAGATAGACATTTTATACGAAAAATTAAGCCATCGTATAAAATGTCACCTAATACAAAATGAGTATTTCTGTTAGGAAATGATTGATCTGTCTTTTTTCAGAGCTTAGAATATAAGCTACAAACTGTATTTTCATTTGGTGACATTTTATACGAAAAATTTGTTCATCGTATAAAATGTCACCAGCATAAAATATGTTGGATTTTCTAGATTTTTCTGGAAAAACTAATTTTTTGCATTACTGGAATGTAACTACACACAATTATACAATTTTATATTTAGTTTTCCCCGTATATTTTCACTTTTATATCATACTTACCATCAAGAGTTGGATGGAATTCCGGAAAGTCATACTTTGGCTTCGTGGGCTGAGATTTGGCCATCGTTGCAGGGATCGTAGGTCTAACAACTTTGTTGGCCGTGGTAATTCCACCATAAAATTGGTCCATGGCAGTGGAATCGAGATCATGTCGAACACTTTGCTGTTGAACCGGCCATTTTTGATTTTCTTCGTAGCCTGAGGGTTGAATCCGGGAGTTTTGTTGGCATAATACCGCTATTGAGGGTAGTAAGAGAAGAAGTCGAGGTAACATCACCTGAAATTGAGATTTGTTGGCATGGGACGTTTTATACGCAAGGTGAAATTTCTCGTATAAGATGTAGCCTTTATTAAAAAAATCATGTAAAAATGCGTAAAACACAAATAAAAAATATTTGTGTCATTTTTTCAGTCCTGTGGCATTTAAAATGAAGAGTGACATTTTATACGAACAATCAAAATTTGTCGTATAAAACGTCCCTTTTACTAAAAATATGTGAAAATGGGTAAAATACGCAGCCAATACTTCTTTAGAATTTTTTTGATCCTGATTTCGTCTGGTATAAAAGGTGACATTTTATACGAAAAATGTAATTTATCGTATAAAGAGTCACCATGAAAAAGATACGAAACTGGTAAAATACGTCTAAATTTCAAACACTTATTTATTTGTCAATCACCGGTATGCTTTTTCTCAAAGGTGACATTTTATACGAAAAATTTTAAAAATCTCGAAATTCCGGGGTCTCGCAAAAGCAATTTGTGATGTAAACCACTGCTCATGAACTTTCCAAAACAACTCTACTTTTTACAGACTTCACCTCTCTAACCATTTTCTCGGCCATTTCCTTCGGCCAGGCAATGTTCAACCGAGCGGAAAAGTCAAAATCCTTTGAAAACCCTTACGTATATACACTATTTATAGGTCAAATTGATGGGGAGAAACGTGCGAATGTCTAGGAAATTACACAGTAAGGGAGAGGTTGAGCACTTGGGAAGAGCTAGTTGTTTTGGATTTTTGGATTTTTTAAAGAATTTCGAAGAGAAAGTTGAAAAAAGGGCTGTTGGTGAAGATTGTTGAATATCTTGGCGGCCTCTGTAAGATGTGAATTAAAATTTTCATCAATTAATTATTGACCGACTGGAATTATTTGGCAAAAATTTGGAAAAAATCAGAGAAATTTTTTTTAAAGTTTTTGCTGATTCAAGTTTTTCTAGGGCTATAACAAGGGAAGTACCTCAAGCGCTCAGATTTTGATGATATTTGGCACAAGTTTAAAACAACTATTTTTAGTACTTGTGCGAGATCCTTAGCTCACGCTTTGCAAAAAACGACCGAGATTTTTCGATCGAAAATTTCAAAAAAAAAATATTTTTTTTGCAAACTTTGGCATCAAAAGTTTCATGCGTATTTCTACCGTAGAGAGTAATATTTCCACCAAAAATCAATCTTTTCCGCCCGAAACTGGCAAAGATATGGCCAAAAAGTTTTCTCTCTGACCGCTCCCCGCGTTTAGCATACTCTCTCGGCCGCAAAGATTGTTCAATATCTCGGCTGTCCCTGAAAAGCGTGGGCTAAAATTTTCAGCAATTGATATGTGGGCTATACCCTACATGTGTGCAAAATTTTAAAAAAATCTGAGCATCGTACTTGAGGTACTACCCTTATAAGTCAAGCCAAAAATTATTACCAAAAGACCTCCCCAAAACCTTCTAAGCCAGTCCTTGACCCGGTCAAATATAACCCTAAGGTATAACAAACAAATATAAAAGGTATACCCAGCGGATCCGTAACCCTTTCCTTTTATATCCACGCCCGACGTGAACTCAGAACGGCCTTGAATTTGCAACCGTTACGCCTCGAGGACAATGCAGGATTCCGTCAAGAATCACTCGCTGGAGTTGTTGCGTAAGTCAGCCTTTCAAGTTTGTAAATCTCCAACTGTTTGCAAAGCCAAAAAAAATTTTCGGATATTTTTATTTTTGTCGTAAATCGGATCAAGATGTACAAAGGATTACGTGGCGTCGATCTTGACTATTGAAATAGAGAAAAAAGTTATACAAAAATTTTCGGAGTCTTGATGGAAGTCTTTGCGGATTACGATTTTTGTGTATTTGTGCTGATGGAGACATTTAATACGAAAAAAAAGTTTGTCGTATAAAATGTCACCCGATGAAAAATTTTAAAGGTGCATTAAAGACTACAGGGACTGGTCTTAAATTAGTTGTAAATCTCTTTTCATTTCATTTTGGTTAATGGAGACATTTTATACGAAAAAATAATTTATCGTATAAAATGTCACCTGATGGAAAATTGAAAGAAACGTGTTACAAACAAGGGAAACTTGCTTGAGATATTACATTTGCACATTTTTTTGAAGATGGTGACATTTTATACGAAGAAATGATTTATCGTATAAAATGTCACCTAATGAAAAATTAAAAATAGCGTAATTTTTGAAAAGACGGAAACTTGCCTAAAATGTGATGTGATATTATTTGTGACATTTCATACAAAAAAATGATTTCATCGTATAAAATGTCGACTTGGCCAAACAAAGCTAAAATTGGCCTTGTATTGTAATAATTTTGGACCCTCTTTTACATACTTATATCTCAAATTACCAATTTTTTCAACGCTTTTGTGCTGGGTGACATTTTATACGCAAATTTTTCATTCTCCCGAATTTATTAAAACAACGATCTCTTTCCTCGCATTGTACAGCAAAATTTGTGCTCATTTATTTCAAATACGTGTGTTTCCTCACAAAGTTCACTGCCCAACCTTGAACATCCGATTTGACACTGAGCTCCAAGAGAAAGCGCCAAATTTGGATAACCAAAGCGCAATGAGAGAAAAATAAAAAATAAATCGGGGTTCTCGAAGGCTCTCGCTCATCCCAATTTGCATATTTAACGGGAGCGGATCAAGGTGGAAAGTCGTCAGCGCTAATGAGATTTCCAAATAAGAACCCAATTTTTTGCTATTTTATTGTATTATTGTTGATTTTGAATGATTGTAATGGTGGATCTGTAAGACGGTAAGAGTTTCTGAGTAGTGAATTACAGGGTGTCCCAAAAAAAATGCATGTTATTTTTATGGCTACATTTTATATACCAAACAAAATTTGGCAAAACTAACGATGGATATCAGTAACATAGAGGATTATTGATAACATATCAAGCCAGTTTCACAGTGGCTGCCTTTGGTGGCGATATATAGCTCCAAACGTAACTTAAAATTTTGGGCTCGGGGCCGCAGCTAGTTTCGGGGAAATCGGTCCCGTTCTTGGCGCAACGACTACTCTGCGACTCCAAACTTTTGTGGCGTGTAGTGCACGCGTTGGTCTCCAATTTAAAAAAATTTTTGGTCTGTCGGATTCAGATCCGGCGAGCAGACGGCCATTTGCGGACGGGGTGAAATCGGGAAAATCGGTCCCATTTCGGGTCCTGAGTCGATTTTGCCTTGTGAGCCGGCGCTGAGTCTAGCAGGAACGCCAGATTTGCATTGCCGAGGTTCTGCTGAGTCAACAGAAGTATGGAAAAATCAACATTAACGCGGCGCTAGAATTTTGCCCCCTTGATCCGAGAAAACCATGGAATTCTTGCCGCTGGGAGAAGTTCCGCCTTAGGGGATGACGGCCCGGATTTCGACGGGTTTCGACGTCAGCCGACGTGCCGAAGGCCTCATCTAGAAAGTTCCTATCGTTCTGGTGGCTGTGCATCCGCCAAATGTTGAACCATGAAGGAATGCGCTCACGTCTGTAAGCTGCGGCCCAGCCCTTGACTTTCCGACATTTTTCGCGCTGCACGCACTTGTCGTCTACTTTAAAGATCTGAGCTTTTTACAGCTTATACAGCGTAAGGCACAGCTCATCATAGACTATTCGGGTGACCGATCGGTCGCTGATGCCGATCTCACAGCCAATTTTTTCTTGAAAATAGCGTTTTGCTGTTGGTGATCTCCCGGTTGACAGAACCGCTGGCGGTGCGTTTTCTTTTACGTCCTGGACGCTTACTATCGTTGTCAAGCTCCCTACATCGCGTGATTACTTTTGACACAACGTCCTTTCTATACTGGGCAGATTTACAACTTGAACGGCTCAAAAATAGTGACAGAATTGCAGTTCCTTTGTTTGACATTTTAAAAAACCACGTTAGTTAATCGATATGAACACGAAACTGAAATGTCTAGGACAGAAAAAAACGGAGATTTTAGTGGTACAAAAATCTTTTGGCCTGACCTAAACATTTTCGCGTCAGGACCAATGGAAAAAAACATGCATTTTTTTGGGACACCCTGTATATCCGAAAACAATTTATTGATCAAAAAAATTTTGATTTTTCAGCAAAAAATTGCCTTAAAAGGGCTTAAAAAAGGGATAAAAGAGCCTTAAAAGGAGTTTTGCAGGAAATGCCCTGAGGGCATAGACATATTTTTTCTAAAAATGCGATAAATTTGCTTTATTTTTCCACCTAAAATTACAAAAACGTCTTTCTGGAGGTATGGGGAATTGAACCCCAGCCCTCTCGCATGCTAAGCGAGCGCTCTACCCCTGAGCTATACCCCCACGGTCACAACTGCTCTTCGATGGAAATGCCAATCGTTTTTTTGGGATTAGCGCAATGTTTCTAAAGCCTTGCTGGATATAAAAAAAATCCAAAAGAAGCGAACGGGATGTTTCTTTCTACTCGATGACGTAATTTTATATTATCCTTGAGATCAACCGAAAAAATTTTGAAAAAAAAAATATTTTTATCAGTCCGAAAAGTTACAGTGTCCATAAGGTTAATTTTATATCTGGAAATTGTATTTTTAGGCTTCCACGATCAGCAGAAGCAGATGAGCTCACAATTGACAGAGATTTCACCCTCAAACGGGTAAAACCGCCGGTTGGGAAGGCCAAAGTGCCTTCCAAGTCGGCTAACGCTGAATTCCTCAACAGTTTTAACGCCGAAATTGATGAAGAAAATTCTGAAGCCTCTGTAACACCCAGAACTGAAGTAATTGAAGAAGCTTCTACCGGAAAAGAGACGAATGTTTTGCCAGAAGCAAGCTTGCCAGAAACAACAACTTTTGTGGAATCTAAATCGAAGGAGAAGCCAGAAGAAGCATCACAAAAGCAAATCAAACAGCCGGTCGCATTACCAGCCACAGAAACCTCGGTTTCGGGTTTGGAAAATGGAGAAAACTCAATTTTTCTCCCAGAAGTCATCAAAGAGACATCTTCGACTTCCGCAGTTCAAAACTCTGGCCCGGAAGAGCCGGAAAGTCCCAGATCGTCTTCTGAGACTTTCTCTGTAACTCCTGTAGACTCAGCAAGCCCTGAATCTACTGTCGAAGCAGTTGCTGTCCAAGCAGGGCCTTCAAAAGTTCCAAATCTTTCTCCAGAGGCGACAGAGGCCTCAACAGTCCAGGGATCGGTCTCAGAATCAACTGCAGAGCAAGCAACTGAAGCTCCATCATCCTCAGTAAACAATGAATCGTCAGAGCCTACAATTGAAGCTTCAACGTCGACAATAAACAGTGAATCGTCAGAGAATGCTACGGCCTTTTCAGCGTCTTCAAAAAACAGTAAATTGTCTACAGAAGTTCCAGAAGCTATCGAATCATCGTCGGTGCCACTGGAAGCTGTAGAGACGACCTCGGAGCCTTTAAATTCGGAGGCATCAACAAGCATAGACTCTAACGCTGTATCTGCTGGCCTAGCGGCTCCTTATTCACCAGCGGAGGAAGAAATCTCAACTTCAAAGCAAAATGAAGTCACTCCAGCATCCTCAAAGACAAGTTCTGCTCCGGGAGTGGCACCAGAGCCATCCGAGACTACGGAATCTCTGGAAGTGCCGTCGAAAACCTCTGAGACTACTGTCTCATCCTCTGAGGCCATTACCTCATCTCCAGAAGTCTCAACATTGTCCGCATCGCATACAGAGGACGCCGGCTCATCTTCTTCTCTTCCTGTAGCCGCCAAGCCAGCGAATATTGCGTCACAAACAATTGAAGGCTCTATTTCGTCGCCCGAAGGAGCAGTGGTCCCTCAGACAGCAGTGGAGGAGCCGTCAGGGCCACAAGAAGGCGATAGCTCGACTAATGAAGAAACTACTGCTCCAATCGATGAGCCAGGAACTCCAGAGTCACCTGACTCAACGGCTGAGCCGCCAAATGGCTCTACGGCAAGTCCAGACGACAATAAGCCACCTGCTGCTGAAGATGCTACTCCAGACAGCTCTACGCCTCTTCCAGAGGCTTCACAGTCCTCCGTCTCGAAACCAGACTCTTCCACATCGCTTCCCTCGGCTCCAGAGCCCTCTGCAATCCTAATTCCCCCTCCAAAAGACGTTGATCCGACTTCAGAAGTCGTTGTCCAGCCAGCCACTTCTTCATCCTCCGTCAACGTAGCTCCCAAAGGTCCTCAAGGCCCTGCCGAACCCAGCACTGTGGATCCCTTCTATCTCCAGCCATTCCCAACATTTTCCCTTCCCATAATCACCGAGCTCCCCGGTTGGACGGGTCAAATGCCAGACGATATTCATGTCTTCGACCCGTTGAATGAGCTGCAACATGTGCAAATCCCGGGCTATCGTGGAGCGGTTGAGGAGAGCTGGAAGTCGGTGCATAGCATGCCTGGAGCCATCGGAAGTAATGGGAAATTGGACCCGGTACTGGCCGCTTTCCCTCCGGCACATTACTTGATCCCGTATGACACGTTCTTGGACGAAGGAAAAAAGACAAATTAATCAGGTTTTTTTTGATATTTTGATGACTTTGGAGTTGAAAATGATGATAAATGGATGTATTAATAAAAATTTTTTTTCGTTGATATTACTGGTCGATTATTTTTCAATCTTAATCCATTGATTTTTCCGGAAATTTTGATGATTTTGGGCTTGAAAATGATGACAAATGAGTATATAAAAAAAAATTTTTTTTGATGATATTACTGGTCGATTATTTTTCAATTTCAGTACTTCGATTTTTTTTGGATATTTTGACGATTTTGGCCTTGAAAATGATGATAAATAAGTCTATTGATAAAAAAAAATTTTTGATGATATTACCAGTCGATTATTTCTCCATTTTTATTACGATTCTTATGTTCAAAATATACAATTTTTACACAGTTGAGATCATTCTACGACCCGATCCATCTCCATCCCTCTCACTGATGTCTCCTCCTGTATTTTGCGGCATAGAACCCGGCGGGCATGCGGTTGGGTTTGAATTGGAAGGTCTTTTGACCGTCCTTACCTTCGACTTCTGCAACAAAAAAAAAAATTAAAAACTTTAGTTTAAAAACAAAAAAATTGTGTAATTTTCCCGCTGAGCCAGTGTAAAAAAGACGTTGATGAAGAAGAATGGGAAACTTGAATGATTAGTTGCGGCTCTGAGATTAGACTTGTGATCAATATTTTTACTGTCTACGGAATGTTAAATTATTACAAAAAAGGGCAAGAAAGCTGGAGTAAACAATTGATGAAAAGGCTGAGATCGATTAATACGTGCATGGAAGATCAAAAATAAGTTTGGGGACATTTTATACGATAAACATATTTTGTCGTATAAAATGTCCCCAAACTTAAAGATGCAAAAAATGGAAACCCCAGGAAATTTCGGAGGACAAAACATGTGTATATACACTATTTTACCAATTTGCCATTAAATTTTCTACAGGCGACATTTTATACGATGATTATATTTCATCGTATAAAATGTCCTCTTCTTCAAAGAACAACAAAAATCAAAATCTATTAAGTTTTTCTAAACGCTATCTTATATATTTTCGATAAAATTTTCCAGCAGGCGACATTTTATACGATAAATACATTTCATCGTATAAAATGTCACAATAGTGATAATTCCAAAAAAATAGCAAAATCAAAATTGTAGAGAAGACAATAAGGTCTGGACAAGATTTCTGGGAGTGTTTGACAACTACGTTACTCATAAAAAACGAAAATTTGAACTTACCAACAATCGTGGGGTACCACGCAAACTTGTCATGTTCCCAATCAGTATTGTAGACGACGGCTTCTTCGCTCTCGCTAAGAGGTGGCTCCGTTGCCATCTCATCGGAATCCACTTCATTTTCCTTTGGCCTGTTCGGCTTACTTTCCCGTTTGACGCTGTCCACTGGCATATCGGCTTTGTAATAGGAGAAGAGCAGATGACCGGGCAAATTAATCTTGATTGGCTCCGAGTTCTTGACCTCTGCGACTTGAACCAAGTCCTCGCTGGGCTTCAGTTGAGTTGCTGTTTCGGTTAGAGCGTCTTCGGAGGCCATTGGCTTGGCCGAAGCGGCCAGAAAGAAGAGAAAAACAAGTTGAAGGGCAAAAATCATGGTTAATGTTGCTGAAAAGGTAAAAATAATATGATATAAGTAAGTAAATAGGGAAAAAGCGTTACCGCGGAGTTGAGGCTTATATTAAGGGCATGTTTTATCAATTTTAGAAAGTGATAAAACCATTTTTAGAATAAAAAATTTTAAAAAATGCCAAAAAAATCAAAAGACGAGTACTCAAAATCCAAAGCTCAGAGCTTCTTCAAATTTTGCATGTAAACTTTATCTATAACGCTTATCAATCGCTGAAAATTTTAGCTTGCCATTTGCAAGTAGAGCCAAGATATTCAACGATCATTCCGGACGAGAGAGTGCAGAAAATGAAGAGACGACCAGAGAAATTTCTTTGTTTTCACCAATATCTTTGTGAATTTTGGCTAGAAAAAACAGATTTTTTTGCTGAAATGTTTCATGCCTAAGGGTAAATAGAATGCCAATTTTAATCTTAAAAAAATCAAAAAAAAAATTTTTTTTAATTTTTTTTGGCCTAAAATTTTTGTTGTTTCTACAAAAGCTAGGCTAAAAAATCGCTAAAATATTTGTCCAAAAATATTTCGTTTTTAATCTACCTCAACTTTCACAAAAATTGAAGCATTATACTGTAAAAATTTCATCTGTAACAACAAAAAATTTCAAAATTACAGTAACCCTCAAAATTGACCTTCGGATTCTTCGCAGATTATCATGAGGAAACACAAAGAAGGAAGTGGAACCTAAGGAGTTCAAGTAAATTAGTTGTTTTGAAATTTTTTTAAAGGTCGTCGCTTCAGGAAAAATCAAGAGGAAATCGTTAAATTTAGATTAAAAAAGCGAGTAAAAAGTGAATCCGCGATCCAAATTTGGCGAATTCCAATTTCAAATCGCTATGGGCCATTCATTTTGTTTTGATATGGCTCATTGAGATTTTTTTGAATTTTTTTGGGAATTTGAAAAAAATAAGAAAAATGTTGACAGCCTTTTCATTGTTTGAACAGGCCATTTTTACCGATTTTACAACTCGCGTTTTGCAGAAACGACCGACATTTTTAGGTTCAAAAATCGGGAAAAATATTCCTTTTTTTGCGAATTTTGATATAAAATGTCGCATACCTATGTCTGTCATAGAGGGTAATCTTTCCACAAAAAATCAATTTTTTCCGCGCGAAACTGGCAAAGATATGGCCAAAAAGTGTTTTTCTCTCTGACCGCTCTCCGGATTTTGCGTCCTCTAAAAATTGTTCAATATCTTAGCATCGCCTGCACTGGCTAAAACTTTCAGAAACTAATGTGTTACCTATAGCCAAAAAGTGCGCAAGATTTAGAAAATAAAAAAATCAATTTTTTGCGATTTTTCGTATGGAAATTTCAGACTCGTTACTAAACTTCAGACTTACTCCTTTGCCCTAAACTGCACAGCGCGCTCTCTTTTCGCACCCCGCTACCGTTTATCGCGCAAAGCCACTGACCCGTGCGGTGAACGACCGCACAGTGCAGAGACACTGGCAACACTAACTGCACAGTGCATTTTTTTCATTCGCACTGTGCCGATTGTTTGTCGCGAAAAGCCATGTCGCGATGACGACTGCACAGTGCAAACACATTGTCAAGCCTAACTGCACAGTGCGCTCTGTTTTCGCACCCTGCCGACGGTTTGTCGCGAAAAGCCAAATCGCGATACCGACCGCACAGTGCAAAGACATGTCAAGACTTTTCGACCCACCTTGTACGTATTTCCCCTCAATTTCCTCAAAAAATCATCAAAAAAATCCCCTTGAAACTCTCTGTCTCTGAAAAAATGGTCAGTGACCTTTTTCCTCCCTTCTCGCCGCACTTACTCCACTTCTTATACTCGCCTTTCTCGTCAATAAATACAATCGCTCTTCGGTTACAACAACCATCCCCCTGACCCCTCCCTTCCTCTTTTTTTTGGTCGGTCGGGGGAGTAACTTTTGGAAACCCACGTTTGCGGCAGACCTTGGGGCGCTCTTCGAAAGTGCAAAATCAGGGGGAATGCGCGCTTATGTGCGAATTGAAAACATTCCGACATGATGACATTAGCCGACATGAGATGGATCACCAAATTTTTTTTTCTTTCGACCGATGTCTGACCAGTTCCGGGTGAAGTGGTTGGGAATTTCGAAGAGCGCGGAGAAAAGGGTGGATTGTAAAATGAAAAACAGTCAAGTTGGTAGTTGGAAAACGTCTATTGGGAAAGTGCTATGTGAAGGGCTAGACTAAAGGTGATTTTTTTATGAAATTTGGAGAAGATGGATTCTAAAATTTAGAAAAATTTTGGAGAAGCAATTTTTGATTGCTTCCAAAAAATACGGCTCGGATTTTGACAAAACTTTCAAGACTACTATCAGAAAATTGTCGATGCTTTATGACATGAGTAGTATCAGTCTGTCGGGAAAATAATGTGGATTTGTCGCAGAAAAATTTATCTTCTTTTCGCAGTCGCGCACCAAAAATTTCCAGCCGCGGCTAGCCGTCGCAAAGCAATTATTCTCGCTTCCGAGAGATCCACATTATTTTCCCGACAGACCGATATTACTCGCGCTATAAAGCCTTCAAAATTTTCACAATGTTTTTTTCTCAAACTTTTTGCACTAACGACATTCACTTACTTTTGGCGCAAGACATCCGCGATAAAAACTCTTGTATCAGTCTGTCGGGAAAATAACGGCGGATCGTCGCGCCTCGGAATCGCCCTTTATCGCTTTGCGACTTCAAGCCGCGGCGGGGGATTTGGTGCGCGATAGCGGCGAGGCGAGACATTTTGATGCGACGATCCGCCGTTATTTTTCCGACAGACTGATATCATTCTGTCGGAAAAATAATGTGGAGCGCACCAAATCTCCAATGCCTCCAGAGTGAATTATGGACTAAAACAAGCATCTGTCCGTCAAAACTTTCCTATGAGTCTGTCGGGAAAATAATGTGGATTTGTCGCAGCAAAGTTTATCGCCTTGCATACAAAATTTCAAACCTCGGCTAGCCGTCGCAAAGCGATGACGGGCGATTACAAGGAGCAAGGAATCCACATTATTTTCCCGACAGACTGGTTGTCCGTTTGCTAGAGTAATTTCCGCGCCATGGACAGTGAAAAAAACAAAAGTTGACTTGGCACTGTGCAATTTCTTGGCTTTGCACCGTGCAAGGCTTTTTTTGGGCTGCCGCTCGCACTCTGACTTTTCGAACACAATTTATGTCGCAAAAATCCCTCCAGCGACTTTGAGAACGGACTATCAGTCTGTCGGGAAAATAATGTTGATTTTTCGCGCATTGAAATCGGTCGTCACGCTTGGCGATAGCTTGGTTTTTTCAATATCAGCCTGGGGGTTGATATTTGACTCATATACAGTATAGGTCCAAATTGTGTGCAAATGTAAAAAAAACACGAGTAAACTGGTTACCCTAAAAGTACAAAATTTAGAAGAAAGAAGTTTTACGACGAGTAATTCAGAAAGGTTCGATTACACTTTAAAAGTTGGCTGATCTTTACCTTGATTGATTTGAGATGTATTTTTGACCGATCGAAGAAATTCATACCGGCTGACACACCCAATTTTACACTAGTTGTAAAAAGGGAAATGAAACATGACTTTGAAGATCAAGATTTTTTTTTCGAAAAACAAGTCCGTTCGCAAAGTCGTTGGAGTGATTTTTGGCATTTGCACTGTGCAAAAAAGTCAGGGTGCGAGCGGCAGCCTAATAACCCCTAATGCACGGTGCAAAAATCAATAAATTGCACAGTGCAAAGAGAACTTTTGTTTTTGCACAGTGCATGTCGCGAAAGTCATTCCAGTGGCTTTTCCAACGGATTTAGCCTGTCGGGAAAATAATCTTGTTTCGTCTCACTTTGAAATCGCCCATCATCGCTTTGCAACGGCTAACCGCTGCTGGAGATTTCTGCGACAAGACAAAAAATTTTGTTGCGACAAATCCACATTATTTTCCCGACAAACTGATAAATCATTATATCGGCCGTCGGGAAAATAATGTAGATTTTTTGTGCCTTCGAAAATCGCCCATCATCACTTTGTAGCGGCTTCCGCGGCTGGAGATACAGTCGGCGAGGAGGCGAGAGATTTTGCTGCGACAACTATATATACATTATTTTCCCGACACGCTGGTATTTTGACCCCAAAAATCTCAAAAATTAACAGATGACTGAAGAGTTTTGTTTTCTCTGGACTTGTTCTTTATAGGCAGTTTTTGTCTTTGTTTTGCTATATAGAGGCTTTACTGTCCTTCACTGCAAGTCCCCATCTGATTTGTTGAAATCTCCCCCAAATTTTCAACGATGACTTTACCGCTCCTACCGTAACCCCGATGACAATTAGGTCCGTAAAAAAAGGCAAAGAAGAACCCCTCGAGCACCCAACCCCCCTTCCCCGCCCACCACAGTTCAAAGTCTTTGTACACGCTGTAAAGCGTCACATGTCTCGGGAAAAACAAAATTTTTAGGCGCAAATCGCTGCAACGCTCCCGAAAAAGCCATCCCAAAAATTGTTTGCGGCCCCGCGGCGCATAATACAAAAGCTGTTCGAGCGGGTTACAACGTGACCGCATCATGGTGCCGCTGTAACAAGACAAAGTTCATTGGGTATTTTGGGGAAAAGGGTCCCCGGAATGGCGTGATTTTTACACCGACGGCCGGGGTTTGTAATGTTTTGAAACGCTGCAACTTGACAGGGTCATCCGGCTCGGGAATTGTATGCGATGAGTTGGAAGGCAAAGTTTAGCGATCACTGATTTTTTATTGAAAAAATAGAAAAAAAGAAGTTTTTTGGAGAATTTTATATTGATCAGGTTGTCGGGAAAATAATGTGGATTTGTGGCGCTTTCAAATCGCCTATCATCGATTTGGTAGCCGTTTCTGGAGATTTGGTTGGCGACTGCGACAAGACGATAAATTTTGTTGCGAAAAATCCACATTATTTTCCCGACAGACTGAAAAAAGATTTCAAAAAAAGTACTGGAAAAACTAGATTTATTTTGACATGAATTTAAATTAAGAAATTGAGATGTTCCCAGTGCATGGCTAATTTTTTTAGCACGTAAATTGCAATAAAAATCGAGATTTTTTGATCAAAAAAATTTTCGAATTTTTCGATTTTTTTTTGGAATGTGTGTCCGAACTCGATTGATATGAGCTGTATACAGCTGTATGACAAATGGAGATCCAAAAAAAGGACTGTAAGAAGTGCCTATAAGGCCTGGAAAAAACCGTTGGATGCTCTCGGCGAAGCCTCGGTGAAGCCTCGGCGGAGACTTGGCGAAGACTTTTATGACTACTTTTTCTAGTGTAATATAAAGACAATCAAAGTTTGCTCCAAAAAACGAAGATCCGTAACTTTTATCGACTGTAGATGTTATTGATGTGAGTACATGTAAAATACCTCAAAATAGATCGAAAGTAACGAATCAAGATAACACATACGTGGCGGACCTGATCCAATGGCAAAAACATACCATTTTGCATCCGGGAAGTATTAAAAATGTGGCAAAATGCTTCCTTTCCAAGTGAAAAAATTCCGATTTCAAAAGCGCACCCGAGGGAAACAGCGCGCTCTTCAAAAAAGGAGTTTTTATGGTTGAAGATGGAGGCATTTTGCCACATTTTTTGGCACTTCCCGGATACAAAATGGTAGTTTTTTGCCGCTGGATCAGGTCCGTCACTGTAGTATTGTTGACCTGAACTATGACCCAAAAATTCGTAGGGTCAAAAAAAAAATCCTTCCAAATTTAATTCAATTTCATTTATTTTCAACAAGGAACCAACAACAACAAATTAACAAGTAAAAACAAATAAAAAATGTCCAAAAACAATCAAAAAAAAATCCATTTTCAACTCAAATTGTCCACGAAAATCATGCTCCAGGCGGCTTCAATTCTTCCATTTCTCTGTTGAGTTGGTTCAATTGTCTTTGGGTGAGTTCAAAGTCGATGAGTCCTTTATTGGACTGGATGATCTGCAGCAGGTCTTTGTGGGTTTTGAGGAAGAATTGGAGGGACGTAATCGAGTCGGTGAGAGTGGTGTCTGCTTTGAAAGTTTGGGCAAAGGTGAAGACCAAATGTCGGCAGATCAATAGGTACTGATGGATGCGGATTTTGGCGATTCTGTTGATATTCGCGCCCAAATATCGGAGCAGTTCGATGGCGAGTTGATCGTCCAAAGTCTGGATCTCTTTTTGAACTAAAAATATATTACTTTAGGTGCAAAAACCGGCTCAAAACCCAATTTTAGCTCAAAAAAATCCCGTTATTTTTGCTGACTGTAAATTAAATTTGCTCAATTTTTACTGAGAAAAATGACGATTTTGGGAATAATGGCAGATTTGGATGATTAACGGTGTTAAATCTTGTTTTGTGAGATTGAAATTTTACAAGGAAAGTACTTCTATAGGGTGTGCAGTTACAGCTCGAGACATACATCAAAAAAAATCGCAAAATTTTTCTGATTCAGAATGTGTAAAAATTAGCTGCCCAATTTTGGTTTGTAAGGGCGAAAAAACCATCAGAACCTTTCTCGCAACCCCACGCAAATGCTATTTTGACCAAGTTTTTACCAATTCAAAAGCTTTTTTTTTGAGCTATCAGTCTGTCGGAAAAATAACGGCGGATCGTCGCATCAAAATGTCTCGCCTCGCCGCTATCGCGCACCAAATCCCAAGTCGCGGCTTGCAGTCGCAGAGCGATGATGGGCGATTCCGAGGCGCGACGATCCGCCGTTATTTTCCCGACAGACCGATAAAGTAAACCTTGGCATCTTGACAAGCCTTAAAATATCAAACTTGATTAATACTACACTTGAATTATTAGTAGTTCCAAGTTTGATACTAGTCGCGGCAAAAAGTCCTTAGAATTTTTCGCGGCCCCCAAATCTCGTCGCACCCCGAAAAGTCGATTTGTCGCTGAGAAAAATGGGAATCGCGCGCGACAATAAGGCAAAAACAACAAAATTGCACTGTGCAAAAGCACTTTTTCGGTCGGATGCACGGTGCAAAATGTTTTTTCGGGTTTATGCACAGTGCAAAATTCTAAGGACTTTTTGCCTCGACTATATTTTAAGGCTTGTCAAGATGTCAGGGTTTACTTGCGTGGTGTTGCAAGAAAAGTTCTGAAGGTTTTTTCGTCCTTACAAACCAAAATTGGGCAGCTAAGTTTTACATATTCTGAATCAGAAAAATTTTGCGATTTTTTTGATATATGTCTCGACCTGTAACTCCATACCCCATAGAAGTACTTTCCTTGTAAAATTTCAACCTCACAAAACAAGATTTAACACCGTTAATCATCCAAATTCAACATTATTCCCCAAAAATCCTCAATTTTCTCAACTTTTCCCTCAAATCCCCAAAAATCTTCCAAAATCTCCTACTTTCATCGATTGGGATTGTCACCAGCACTTTTTCCACCAAGTCCTTTTCATCCAGGGCCAGAGACATCAACAGTGCTTCATGATATTCCTCATTTTCCAGCAGTTCCTCCGCTTTTTTGATGGTTGCTCCCTCCACCAGTCGAATCGGTCGGAATCTTCGTCGTTTGTCCAATGAGAAGACCATTACTCCCTCCGTGGAGACCACTGCGAACGAGCGGCCGGTGGGATTGAAGGCGAATTCGGTGAGCTCGATGGAGGGGCGTTCGAACTTCCGCAAAGAGAGGTCTTTTCTCGCTTCGCCCGGGGTGTTGATCGGCCCGATTTCGTTCTCCTCATCCGAGGCGTCGATTTGTTGTCCGTAGTAGGCGAAGGGATCGAATCGAGGCTGAAAATACAACATTAAATAAGCAAAAGACCAATTTTTGCCTCATTTTCACAAAAAACTCGAAAAAATTGAAATTACAGTATCTCAACACCCTGTGGGACATATAAAATCCTTCCTAAACAATACTATGAGCTTAGTCTGTGCCTAATCCAACCACTTTCTGCTTCAAATTCACAAAAAATGCACAATTTCCCGAGAAACCCCAAAAAATCTGGAAATTTTCCAAAAAAATCGTTGTTACAGTAACCCAATGCTCTTAAATACCTCAAATTTTAGACTCATCATTCACTACACACCTTCTTCCTTCTAAAATCATCAATTTTTCCGGTTGAAATTCACAAAAAATGCATAGTTTCCCAAGAAAACCCAAAAAATCCAGAATTTTTTGAAAAAAATACATATTACAGTAACCCAATGCTCTTGAATACCTCAAATTTTAGCCTCATCATTTACTAAACACCAAGCTCTTTTTAAAATCATCGATTTTCCTGTTGAAATTCACAAAAAATACATAAATTTCCCAAGAAAACTCAAAAAACCGAAAAATTTCGAGAAAAATCGTTGTTACAGTAGCCCAATGCTCTTTAATACCTCAAATTCCAGACTCATAATTCACTACACACCTTCTTATTTCTAAAATCATCAAGCTTTCCCATCAAATTACCTCAATTCCATCGAAAAATCAAAAATTTTTCCAAAGCCCCATCAAACCACCTATAATATGGAAAAAAAACTCAATTTTACCGTAATCCACGCATAAAATTCCCCGTAAAAATCAACTTTACCTCACACTACACTCTCTATTCTTCATACATCCACCAAATCTCCCCTCCAAATCTTTCAAAAACCCCTTCAAAAACCTACATTTGTCCCGTCGATCGACTGATTCGCCGTTAATTTGAATCTTCTGATCAAAGTGTGTTGTGCAAAGTCGTATAACGAAAAATTATTGGATTGTCCACCAATTAGGAGGAATTTCGAGGTGGGTGAGAACTCGATTCGATTGTAATTCACATTCTTTTCGATCGAATTTTTGGCCAAATTCCCCTTCTTCCATCCAATGTCCATGTCCAATTTTGTTTCGATGATTGCAATCTCGGAGTTGCTCTCCGCACTCAACACATGCACCGAGGAGTCGAGCAACAGCACGGCGAGGAAGAATCCGTCGGGGCTGAACTTCACGTCCACACATTCCTTGGAGAATTGGATGGCTTCGTTCTCCATTCGGGTCACGTCCCAGACCCGGACCGTCTTGTCCATCGACGCCGACGCCAATTTGAGGCCATTTAGGGAGAGGGCGGTGATCGGGCCGGTGTGTCCTGAAAATTTTTATAAAAGTCCAAAAAATCATCAAAAAATTGTCTAAAATAATATCCAAAATGTCATTTTTTAACTCAAAACCAATATGAAATGGTCTGAAATTACACTAGAGGCATCTCTAATGACTTCAAAAATTTTAAAACCACCAAAAAAAAATAAAAATTTTTAGTCATAAAGTCATCTAAAGTAATATCCAAAGTGTCTAATTTTTCTCTATTTTTTACCCTCAAATACTCTCAAATTATCCAAAAAGCCTTATCGCCCTTTTTGAAACCGAAAAGACATCAAAAAAATTTCACTTTTACTCCATTCCCCTCAAAAATCCCAAAAAATTGTCTAAAGTAATATCCAAAATGTCATTTTTAAACTCAAACCCTATACGAAATAATCTGAAATAACTCTAAAGGCATCTCTGATTACCTAAAAAAATTTAAAACCCATAAAAAATTCAACTTTAAAATTTTTTGAAAAAAAAATCATAAAGTCATCTAAAGTAATATCCAAAATGTGCCATTTTTTGTCTACACCCTGATTCAGATACTCTCCAATTATCCCAAAATGCCTCACTGCTCTTTTTAAAATCCAATAGTCATCAAAAAATTTCACTTTTACTCCATTCCCCTCAAAAATCCCAAAAAATTGTCTAAAGTAATATCGAACATGCAATTTTTGAACCCAAAACCAATATTAAATGGTCTAAAACCACTCTGAAATCATCTCTAATTACTTCCAAACTTTCAAAACCATCAAAAAACAAAATTTTAGGTCCATTTAAAAAAAATCATAAAGTCATCTAACAAGGAAAGTACTTTTATGGGGGCTCCTACTTTTTGACGGGACATACCTCAAAAAATCATAAAAAATGTGCTGATCAAGGATATGTAAATCTTAGCTGCCCATTTTGGGCTTTTAGGGGTGAAAATGCCCAAAAACTGGCTCAATTTCCCTACAAAAGGCGCATGCATTCGAAACGATAAAAAGCGCAGTCGGTCTCTTCCTTCGGAAGAGAGCGGTGTGGCCGAGTGGCTAGTGTCGTAGTCTGGGGATCAAGAGGGGGAATGCCGCACGGGTTCGATTTCCCTTTTGGGCTGAATCGACTTTTTTTGAAGTTGAAGGTCGGAAAAATAAATTTTTGGGCCAAGACTGATTTATTACGTCTTAGAAACTCAATAAACATCATTTGAAGCCAAAATAAAAATTGTAAACCCGTGAAAAATTAGGCGAAAAGGGGTTCATACAGGACTTTAAGTCAACTTCCGATTGAGTTTTCACCCCTAAAAACCTAAAATGGGCAGCTAAGATTTATATATCCTTGATCAGCACATTTTTTCTGATTTTTTGAGATATGTCCCGTCAAAAAGTAGGAGCCCCCATAAAAGTACTTTCCTTGTAAAGTAATATCCAAAGTGTCAAATTTTTCTCCGTACCTTGGCTAAAATACTGTTAAAAATATCCCAAAATGCCTCACCGCTCTTTTTTAAATCCAAAAGTCATTAAAAAATCCCACTTTTACTTCATTTTCCCTAAAAATCCATAAAGTCATCTAAAGTAATATCCAAAGTGTCAAATTTTTGTCTATATCTTGCCTCAAATTCTCTCAAATCACCACAAAAGCCTAATCGCTCTTTTTAAAACCCAAAAATCATAAAAAAAATCTCACTTTTACTTAAAATATCAAAATTTTCCCCAAAAATCCCCTAAATCATCTAAAATAATATCCGAGAGCCCATTTATTCCTCTCAAATCACCCCAACTCCCTTTAAATTTCCCTCAAATCCCCTCAATGTCCTTACCAGTCAAAACCTCCAACAAATTTCCAGTCTCAATGGCCCAGACATAAATTTCGAACGAGTTTTGCGACGAGGCAATACAATTCAGGCCCTCCTTGTCGGCGCACAAATGCTCCAGCTGCGTTTCCCTCGGGGTGACCATGGTGCGGAAATTCCGGTACTTTTTCATGTCATGCGCGAGTACCTGGCCGTCCAGGGAGGCGCTCAAAATTGCGTTTCCATTTTGAGTGAAGCAGAGTGACGTCACCGGGGCGGTGTGCCCTTTCAGGGTGACGACGCACATGGCGGATTCGGAATTCCAGATCTTCACGAGGCCGTCGTCGCCGCCAGTGGCAAGGACATGGCCCAGCGGCGAGTAGACGGCGGTTCTGATCGCTTTCGTGTGGGATTGCTGTTTGACGGCGAAGATTTCGGAGCGCTGATCCCACACGTAGAGGGCGCCGTTGTAGCCGCGCCCGGTTCCGAATGCGAGCAGGTTGTCGGTAATGTCGATGGCTTCGATTGGGATGCCCAAATTTAGGCTGAAAATTTCAAAATTGACAAAAAAAACGAAATTTTTACAAGGAAAGTAAATGGAGGATTTTTTGGGAAATAATGTTGAATTTGGATGATTAACGGTGTTAAAACTTGTTTTATGGGATGGCAATTTTACAAGGAAAGTACTTCGATGGGGTATGGAGTTACAGGTCGAGACATATATCAAAAAAATCGCAAAATTTTTCGGATCCAGAATATGTAAAAATTAGCTGCTCAATTTTGGTTTGTAAGGGCGAAAAAATCCTCAGAACTTTTGCAATACCACGCAAATGTCTTTTTACCAAGTTTTTAACAATTCAAAAGCTTTTTTTGAGCTAAAGTAAACCCTGACATCTTTACAAGCCTTAAAATATCAAATTTGATTAATACTACCCCGTTTTTACATTGCAATTATTAATAAGGTGTAGTATTAATCAAATTTGCTATTTCAAGGCTTGTCAAGATTCCGGGGTTTATTTTAGCTCCAAAAAAAGCTTTTGAATTGGTAAAAACGTGGTCAAAAAGGCATTTGCTTGGTGTTGCAAGAAAAGTTCTGAGGGGTTTTTCACCCTTACAGACCAAAATTAGGCAGCTAATTTTTGCACATTCTGAATCAGAAAAGTTTTGCGATTTTTTGGTACATGTCTCGACCTGTAACTCCATACCCCATAGAAGTACTTTCCTTTCGAAATAAGGTTAAAATGACGAAAAAACCCAAAAATTCGAAAACTATTTGAATTTTTTAGCACTAAAATTACAGTAGAGACCCTAAATGTTATTTCAAAACTAAAATAAAAGTCGCTGAACAAAAATTTTTTCCAAAAATCGTCAATTTTACCTAAAAGAAATCAAATTTTGCAAAATAAAGCAAAACTTAACCCAAAATACGATCAAAATTCCTTTCGAAAAACTCCAAATGGCAATTTCTACACTCTCCATCCATTTACACTGCCAATTTCACCCATAAAATTTTTAAAATATAAATTTTTTGTCAAAAAATCACTAAAAGAAGGTAAATTTAGTTGCAAAAATATTTTTATCCCATTTGAAACCTCAAAAATAAATCTAAAACACGACAAAATGACCATATCATCTTTTAACCCCTCTTCCTTTCTAATATTCTCCTTATTTTTCGCTGAAACTCACTTCAAATGTTTGGTGACATGAAGACCCATGGACAAATTGGCGATGACGATCTCGGAATTCTCGAACCCAATGGCCAACAACTCATTCTTCTTGTCGAATGCGGCAGACGTGACATTTGGACGGCCGTTACTCTCGAATTTGTCGTAAATCGCAGGCCTAAATTTCGAAAATCTCAAAAAATAGTCAAAATACTTACTTTGAATCGTATTTGAAGAACATTCTGGCTTCTTTGAACTGCTCATCTTCCTCCAGAGGCTTCATAACTTCCACGGGGTCTAAGGAGGCGGAATAATTGGAGATAATTCCTCTTTTTGTCACCAAAAGGATCTAAAATAATATAAAATTTTTTAAATATTTTCCTCAAATACATTGTGAGGCTAATATCTAGTAAAATACAGTTTAGTCAAGCCACTTACATCATAAGTTGAACTTGTTCTGAACCAAGCACCAATGATTTCAGCTCTTTCGGGCAAGGATAACATATTGAACCTGGGAAGAGCCCTCAATGGAGCATAAACCCGTTGAATGTGAGAGTTGGATGAGACTGTAAGCAATCTGAAACATCGTTTATGTCAGAATAAACTTCGAAATTTTGAAAAAATGAAAAAAAATAAAATTTCTAATTTTGATGTCTAAAACAGGTTGGCTAATTTTCAAGAACGCTTAAAATCTCAAAACAGCTCATGGACTTCCTCACTTAACCAAAAACCCGGGACAAAATCCAACCTCAACTCTAAATTTCACCTAAATTATATTAACCTTGGCAAATTCTTGATGGGTTTCAGAAAATTGTCTATAACACAAAATATATCCCAGCTACAATCGCCAAATTTCTCATAAAGCACCGCTATATCATAGTCAATGTCCCTTCCAAAAATCATTTTCATTTATCCCTTCAAATCTATGAACCATCCATATTTCCCCAACCATCATCAATATCATGTATAACATCTTACCTTGAGTCAAACGACCATTCCAGCTGAGTGAAAGTAGTTTGTGCTGACATATTTGCGAACTGTCTTCTGCTGAGAAGCCTTAGAGGTTCCGGGGTAAGACAATCAACGTCCACAGAGTAGATGGCGACGTATCCATCCATTCCAAACGCCAGATACTTGCTGTTGGGAGAAAAAGCCGCACATCTCACGTGTTGTCCAATCTTTCTTTGATAAATGACTGAATTGAGAACCAACGAGACCAGACTGACGATTCCAACTGAAAACCCTCGAGTTTAGACTTCATTTTAGGCATAAATATAAAAGATTTCAGAACAATGTTAGTAGCCATCATGGATAAGATAAATTGCCTCTAAAATCGCAGAAAAGAAAATTCAAAAGCTTACCTTCATTCACCAACGCCACCATACTTCCATCTCGGCTGAAAGCCATGTGAACCACGTTGAAATTGGACTCGCAATCAAGAATATGAGAAGCATCACTAAACGTAAACTAATGTAACACAAAATACCTACTTTTTCAGGTCCATAACCTTGACTCTGTTGCCAATCGGACAGGCCAAATGATCTTTGGTGAAGAATTTAAGGTTTCCATTTTGAAAGACAGCTCCAACCACATCTGACAACTAAAAAAAATAAAAATTTAGATGTACAATGGCATGAATAACATTTTGATCAAAAAAATAAGTCCTTACCTGAAATTTTGATTCCATTTTGATGTGGATTCAATGGAAATTACAAGGCGAAGATAGGAAAACGAGAAAAATGTGGAGAAATGGGTTAAAACAGAATGCCAAAACTTTTGGCATCAATTGTTTTCGTGGAGAGACGCAGGTGAAATGTCAATGAATGACAAAATAAAGCTGTTTTGAGATTTTCAAGGCAGTTGTTGATGGGGTAATAGTCTTATGGCATCTGAGGAGTCCTGATAATTCCAAATTCACACTTTATTTTAGCGATACGGCAAGTTTTGATCTTACGGTAAAATACGAATACTACTGTATAAAATCCAAAAATTTATGTTGAAAATATCCTTATTATACCATAAATCACTTTTAGCTTCAATGTGAATTATATTTTAACTTAAAATTTAATTGTAAAATACAGTTTTTACAAAATGTCAAAATTGCATGTTACAGTAGCCCTGATGCACAAAACACAATTGAACTTTTGCAGACTGCGACTAATCAACAATTTCCATGTGTTTTTTAAAATGTGACAACACATTTTAATGCTTGTTTTTGAAATTTTGATCGATTTCGGATAGCTGACTACAATATGTCTAGTCTAAATTTCACGTCGCCCTCACTCCAATTTCTATATCATAAGTGCAAAAAAGACGCTATTTAGTCTAGAAATTTCAGTGGTGAGCTAAATTTTTGTTTTGTTTTTGACTAATTTTGAGATTTTGAAAAAAAAGATGAGTTTAACCCATAAGGTAAGTAAAAATGGAGGTAAAATACGATGACATCCGTAAAAATTTGTTTTAATTTTGCGATAAGATATCGGCTAGGGGGCAAAAAACAAATTATGGTTCAAATTACGGACGAATCTAGCCATTTTCATAGCGTTTTTATCAAGTTTATCTCAAATTTCATCAAAAATTTTAATTTTTTCAAATTTTACTTTGAAAAATTACTTTGAAAATTACTTTTCGCCATATTTTTTTATTTTCAGCCCGACTACTCCAAGCCAGGCCTTGTTCTCTCCAAAGAGCAACTCCAATTCTACGACAAAAATGGATTCATTGTCCTGAAAAACATCGTTTCCAAAGCGGAATTGCAGAGATACTTGTGAGTCTAAAATCGATCATAACACATCGCACAAAGTTCGGATTTGTTTGAAATTTTGCACGTATTGTCTAGTCTGTCTACAGATTTATTCCTCAAAGTTTCAGCGCGTAGTTTTTATTTTGAGCCGAAATATTGAACGATCTTTGCAGATGAGAGAGTACAGAAAAGGAGGAGACCGTCGGGGAGAAAAATTTATTTTTACTAGTTTAGTTGCATACTTTGCTGGGTAAAAATCTATTTTTTGCATGAATTGCCTACTTTCCATTTAGAAGAGACTGCCAATTTTTAATTTTGAAAAAAAAAATGAAAATTTTCTGAATTTTCGATCTAAAAATCTCAGTGATTTCTGCTAAATCCAAGGCTAAAACTCTCAAATGTGTCTTACAAAATTTTAATCCAAATATATTCCGAGTTTCAGCAGAATATGAGCTGACAATTTTTTCAAAAATTTTGCTTTGGTCCCCCCTTACCTCTAAAAATGTTAAATTTTTTTTGGTTCTTGCTGTAAAAATCATGTTAGTTTCTGCACAACGCGAGTCGAAAATCTCAAATATGTCTTACAAAATTGCAATCTAAATTCGTGCCAAGTTTTGACCAAATCTGAGCATAAATTTTTTTTTCAAAATTTTTACCTTGGTCCCCCCTTACGTCTCAAAACTGAAAGTTTTAAAAAATCTCGGAGATTTCTGCAAAACGCGAGCTAAAAATTTCAAATATGTTTAACAAAGTCCTAATCTAAAGCTATGCCAAGTTTTGGCCAAATCTGAGTTAATAATTTTTTCAAAATTTCTGCCTTGGTCCCCCCTTACCTCCCAACACTGAAAATTTTAACAAAAGTAAAAAAAGCTTATTAGAGATTTCTGCAATGTGCGAGCTAAAAATCTCAATTATGTCTTATAAAGTCCTAACCTAAATTTATGCCAAGTTTTGGCCAAATCTGATTAAATAATTTTTTCAAAATTTTTGCCTTGCTCCCCCCTTACGTCTCAAAACTGAAAGTTTTAAAAAATCTCGGAGATTTCTGCAAAACGCGAGCTGAAAATTTCAAGTATGTCTTACAAAGTCCTAATCTAAAGCTATGCTAAGTTTTGGCCGAGCCAGGTAATTTTTTTTTTTTTATTTTTGCCTTGGTCCCCCCTTACCTCCCAAAACTGAAGATTTTAACAAAATTAAAAAAAGCTCAGAGATTTCTGCAGTGCGCGAGTTAGAAATCTCAATTATGTCTTATAAAGTCCTAACCTAAATTTAGGCCAAGTTTTGGCCAAATCTGAGTTAATAATTTTTTCAAAATTTTTGCCTTGGTCCCCCCTTACCTCTCAAAACTGCGAATTTTAAAAAATCTCAATGGTCTCTTCAAAGCGCAAGCTAAAAATTCCAAATATGTCTTCCATAATTCCTAACTTAAATATATGCCAAGTTTTACCCGCGCCAGCTAAAATTTCTTGTCATCAAAAACTCTCTTTTCAGGGACCGTTTCCGTGAAATCTGCTCGGGCAAAAACGTTCCCTCCGAAATGGTCGTTATGCGGGATGTTGCCATCGCAAAGTCGGAGTTCAAATCCGGCGAACGCGCCATCACAAAGCTGCAGGACTTCAATTTCGACCCTGTTTTGTTCGATTTCTGTCGGAATCCCGCGATTTTGGATGTTGTCGGCGACCTAATTGGCCAAGAAAATTTGATGTCAATGCATACGATGTTGATCAACAAGCCTCCCGATTCGGGAAAATTGACTTCTAGACATCCGTTGCATCAGGATTTGCAGTATTTCCCGTTTAGGCCGGCCGATTTTATTTGTTGCGCCTGGACTGCCATGGAGAAGGTAAATCGAGCCAATGGATGTTTGGTGGTGGTCCCTAGAAGTCACAAGGGGAAATTATTGGACCATGATTATCCTAAATGGGAGGTGAGAAAGGTTTTTTCGATTGGAAAATTTTAAAATACGTAATTTTAAGCTGTGTAATAACAATAAAAAAAAAGTCCAAAACCTCTATATAACGATGTCTTTGTATAACGAACATTTTTACAGCATACAATTTTAAGCTTCTTGACAAGCTTTTTTTCAAAAATTTTAATTTTTTCACTGACTTTTTCTGTTTGGCCAGAATTATCTTTTTGCACTGTGCGAATGACAAAAGTGTAATTTACTGTGTTGTACAGATGCTTTTTGACCCAAAATTTTCTATAAAGGACTGTTTTTAATCTGAATTTTCTTCTTATGACCAGATTTTTTATTTTCCCCGACTGCACAGTGCACATTTCATATTTATGAATATTGCACTGTGCAACAAACCTCAAGTGCAATATAACGCCTGATTTTGTAGAGCAAAGGCTAAAACTTGATGAGAATCGTCTAAAATGAACCGCTGTTGTATTTTAGACATTCTGTGTATGAAATTTTTTACCGCACAATGCGGAATTTTGAAATTTTAAATTTCGCACTGTGCGGAAAATTTAATGTGTAATATAACGCGTAATTTTGCTGGTAATTTGACGAAATTAATTTTAAATTACTCTACTCTCATCAATTTAACAAGCCACATTTTATTTAAAAATTTTCTGACGTCATTTTTCCGCACTGTGCAAAAATTTCAATTTGATTTCACCGCACAGTGCAGTCTTTTTTTTGAACTTTTAAGACCATTTTTCTTTCAAAAATTACCCAGAAAAATATTTACAGGGCGGTGTAAACAAAGCTTACTACGGAATCCAAGACTACGACCCGAATTGCCCCCGGGTTTACGTGGAAATGGACGCCGGAGACACCGTCTTCTTCCATCCACTGCTGATTCATGGAAGCGGCGCTAATCGCACTGAAGGCTTCCGAAAAGCCATCTCCTGTCATTACGCGAATGGCAAGCTTTGCGATTACATTGATGTGAAAGGGACGAATCAGGAGATTTTGGAAAAGGAAATTTTGGATATGGCCAAGGCAAAGTGCGAGAAAAGAGGCGTCGAATGGCCGGGATGGAGCTTTGCGGTGAGTCGGAATGGGGGTTATGTTTTCCACGATGCAATTTTTTTGAATATATACAAAGCGGGAAGAATTTTTGATCTTGCACAGTGCAAAAGAATATTTTAATTTTGCACTGTGCATTTTGTTTTTTTTTTTAATCTCACGCCTCAGAAGTTTTTTTATTTGATTTTGCATAGTGCAAATGTCTCTTTTTGATTTTTGGACTGTACCGTTAAAAACATATTTTTTTTAACATTGCACAGTGCAAAAAATAGATTTCGAATGTTCGCACTGTGCGATAAAAAAAAATTTTATTTTGCACAGTGCAAAATTTAAAAATTAATTTCTTGCACAGTGCGTGCAAATGTTTTTTTTTTTTGAGCTTTGCACGTGCAAAAAATTGATTTTGAATGTTCGCACAGTGCGATAAAAAAAAAATTTTTATTTTGCACAGTGCAAAATTTAAGAATTAATTTCTTGCACAGTGCAGAAAAATTATTCTGCACCGTGCAAATTTTTTTTTCTGATTTTTGCACAGTGCAAAAAATTGATTTTGAATTTTCGCACAGTGCGGAATTCAAGAATTAACTTCTTGCACAGTGCAAAAAAAAAAAAAAAACAAAATTTTTCTAATTTTTCATTGCCAAAATAACTAAATATTTTTTTCAGGATGTTTGGAGAGTCCGAGGACGTCCCGTTGGCAACGAACGAGCTCGTTTGTAAGGATCAAGTGCGATATTTTCAAAAAAATTATTATATTAAAAAGAGTTTTTTTTAAGGACGAATAAACGTATTTTACAAAAACAAACTCTCTCTTCAAGCAGTGGCTATAATTTCAATTTGAATTTCAAATTTTGATTATAATCAAATAAAGTGGCAAATTCAATTTTAATAAGCGTTTCAATTCTAATTTCCTTTGTGGTTTTCGATCTTCATTTTCATTTTGTACGATGAAACTCTCAAGTCTAATATTTTTGGGAATATTCGGAGTGGTAAATGGAATAAATCCGGTGAGAAAATCAAAAAATCAAACTACTTATAGAGGAAAGATATGGATTTTTTAAGGAAAAGGTGTCATTTTCATCAATTTTTTTACAATTTCAGTATGTTACGGTAATTTTTGAGGAAAATCAATGTCATTTCTGAGTTTTCCGGGGCGTACTACCTATATAGACACAGTTTTTGTTTTCGAAAAAATAGATTTTTCAAAAAAATTTGATCAATTTTTGTCATGGATAACATGATTTTTCGTCCATAGAAAAATCGAGCAGAACAAAAAAATATTCGTTATAGAAGGGTTTTGTTATACAGAGGTTAATTTTGACTTACACTTGACACTTGCAACCTCTTTACAATATTAAAAATTTATTCGTTATAGACAGGTTTTCTTGAAATACAGGGTGGGGCATCTTTGTAGCCCGATTTGAATTTGCTATAACTTCTTTCGTTTTTGGCCAAATCTTAAAATTCTTTTTTTCTCTGAATCCTCAGACAACCCCATTTTGTTTGATACCAAGTATGTTATACGTAGCTTAGTGTCATCTACAGTTATTGGATTTTTTTTCTTGGAGGTCATTTTTTCGGTTGTTTTTTCGGTGTTTCCCGGTGTGTCCGAAAATGGAGTACGGTGTGAAAGAAAAATACGGTGGAATTTCCCCTGCCGAAAATCGACGATGAGAATAAGAACACCAGAATTCGTCGAATGGTCCTTGGTGAAGGCATTCCCTCGGTTCTGGACAAACTTCGTGAATAAATCCAATAACTGTAGATGACACTTATTTATGTATAACATATTTGGTATCAAACAAAATGGGGTTGTCTGAGGATTCAGGGAAAAAAATAATTTTAAGATTTGGCCAAAAACGAAAGAAGTTATAGCCAATTCAAATCGGGCCACAAAGATGCCCTTCATTGTGCAGAGGCTCCACTTTTCTTACTTTATAATATTTTTTTCAGAACACCGAGTATGTCAAATACAAAGGCGAGCTGATTGAAGCGGCTATGAACCGCTCCTACGACCCCTGCGAAGACTTTCCGCGCTATGCCGGCGATGGCCTCGTAACAGTCATAAAGTCCGCCTTCCAAAAACACAAAATCCAGACCGCAGAGAGGATTCTGAAAGAAAGAAGTGACAGTGATGTAAGTTTGGGGCAAATTTGGTTGTGATTTGATAAGAAAGCGATAGAAATTCTGACTGGAATTTTCAGTTTTTTGCTAAATCACATTGCACAGTGCGGATAACATAATTTGAGATTTCGGCGGAGTACAGGAAATATATCGCTGTAAGACAGATAAAAATAGCTTGTACAGACAAAGAAAATATCTGTCGATTATTTCGTATATCATAAAACAATTTTACAGCCGAATAATTTCCAATACCATCGACTGCACTGTGCAGGACGAAAAATCAAATGTTTGCACTGAACCCGCAATCTTTAGACCTGAAAGCTTTTTGTTTTTGAGAACGCATTTTCCTATCACCCTCTATTTCATTTTCCATTACATTTTCTTCCTCTGCAACTTTGGAAAATGCCAAACTTTTCAACGCACGGTGCAAAAAATATGTTTTCAAGTTTACGCACTGTGCAATGTAATTTGGCCTAAAAAACATACGTAGTATGGTGTAAACTGGCTTCCTTTCCTTATCCATCACTTTTTATTCTAGTACTCACCTTTACAAACAGCCAAAAAGTTGAAAAAATTTTGCACGGTGCAAAAATTTGAATTTTGATTTGCGCACTGTGCAGCTAATTTTTAGATCTCTAAACAAAGAAATAGTATTGGCAGAAGCAGTTTTGCAATATCGTAGTAATTTTTATCTCGTTACCTTCTACCATGAATCTTTAAACAAGTCAAAAAGTGATTGCACGGTGCAAAAACTTATTTTTTTATTTCTGCGCTGTGCATTCAAGACTTTCAAAAAAATCGAAAAAAAAGCTTTTAACTAAAGTCTATACTTTTGCTTTGATCAATTTTTACCCCTATATCTTCAGCCCGCACCCATCAAAACGATCAAAGATTTCTACGCACAGTGCGAGAGCAACACGACTCTGCTAAACATTGACCGCAACCCGGGGCCCGGAGATACCACCGACGAACGCAATGACAATTATCGTATCCTCTATAACTTCTATAGTAAAGCCGCGTTCAGTGACGAGGATGCATTTAACGACATTTATGTCAAAGTTATTTCCTGGACTTTCAAGTATGGTCTCCCCGACTTCTGGATGCATTTTGGGCATCTTGTCGAGTACGGACCGCCGCCAACTATGAAAGGCATGAATGGAACTTGTTACGAGGCTGTTGCTGACCCAGCAAAACGAGCCAAATTGTGCGATACGATGGCACAGAGGATTTTTGGGATCCCCGGGTTTATTCCGAGCTTCCTCAATATTTATTATCCGAGTAGTACAGAGGTAAATGGTTTTATGGCATGCCAAGACCATCTTTTTTATGTAAAAAATATATTTTTTTTATTTTTACTATTGCACTGTGCAAAAATTAAAATTTATGATTTCGCACGGTGCAAAATTCGGCGATTGATTTTTCGCACTGTGCAATGCCAATACACATCAATTTTGCAAAGCCATGCGTTCAATTTTGGCAAAAAAAAGTATATGTTGTTTCTGAGGACCTTTTGGGCATTCACAACGCCATCTGTAACAATCAAAATGGTTGCACTGTGCGAAAAACGAAATTTAGATATTTCTGCACTGTGCAATGCAAATTTTTGACTTTCGTAAAAAGAAACACGTTTTAAATTCTAAACCACACGCACATTTCGTATTTTAAGCCGTTAACTCGGTGGCCCAGTGCCGTATTTGGCCATCAAACCGATTGCACAGTGCAGAAAATAAGGTACCAAATTTTGCACTGTGCAAAGCAAAAAAATTTTTTTGGCGTTGTTTGTAAGAAATATTAGGACAAACTCTATGTTAACTTTCAGGGTGACGCCCGTCGACAGCTTTTGGCGTATTTTATCGACAGCATGAGAGAGAGGAAAATAGACCCTTACGGGTCTTGTGCCGAGATGGTCAGGGATCTCTTCCCAATGCATTACAAGTTCATGCTGCTTGATTACGAGTTTCCTCCACCGAAAGGTAAGCGGGAAAAGAGATTTTTGCTTTGAGTTTTGCAGCGGGCAAAATTTGAATTTTTTTTTTGGCAATGTGTAAAACACAGGAGCAATTTTTTGCACAGTGCGTTACGAAAAACAAGTTTTTTTCGCACTGTGCAAAATTCAAAAAACCTTCTTTTGCACCGTGCCGAATTTTGAAAAAAAGTGTTTTGCACTGTGCAAAATTTCAAAAATTTTTTTTTCCACTGTGCAAAATTCAAAAATCCGTCTTTGCACCGTGCGGAAAAAAATTTATTGCACCGTGCAAAATTCAAAAAACCTTCTTTTGCACCGTGCCGAATTTTGAAAAAAATTGTTTTGCACTGTGCAAAATTTTAAAAAAATTCGCTGTTTCACTGTGCAAAATTTCAAAAAATTTTTTTTCCACTGTGCAAAATTCAAAAATCCGTCTTTGCACTGTGCAAAAAAAATATTGCACAGTGCAAAATTTGAAACTCAATGTTTCGCACTGTGCAAAATTGAAAAATTCGTCCTTGCACAGTGCAAAATTTGAAAATTGTTTTTTTTCGAATTTTGCAAAAACTTTTTCAAACTCAAAAAAAATTTTTTTAATTTTTTCTACTTTCAGGTCAGGAAGAAATCGACCAGACCGTCCTCGAATACATGACGGCAATTGTCGAGGATTACGAGGCCACATATCGTTGGCTGAATGTCAGCGACGCCGAGAAGAAGCGACAAATCGATTACGTCCGCAATCGACTGAAATTCGAAAAATTCAGTCATCCGATTTTCGAGAAGGACACTTTCACCAAATATTTCGGCAATTTGGACATGAGTATGCCCTACAGAAGACGCCATCAGAACAATTACTTGCCGCTGTTGAAGTATAATATCGAGAAGAGATTGAATATGTTCTGGACACCGCCGTTGGATGTGAGTTTGAAAATATGTATGGAAATATGAGCACTGGAAGTTAAAATTTTGAATTTTTAGATGAAAAATTTGAAAATTTATCTTTTGCACCGTGTACCATTAAAAGCCAAAAAAAAATTCTTTGCACTGTGCAAAATTTAAGATTTTTTTTTAAATTTTTTCTTTTTTTATGATTTTCAAGTTTGTTTCTTGCACCGTGCAAAATTTCGAGTTTATTTTTTGCACAGTGCACCGTGAATACCCCAAAAAAATGTCTTTCACAGTGCAGAATTTAAAAATTTCTTCACTGTCAAAAAATTTTTTTTCTGCACTGTGCAAAATCAAAAAAAAAAATCTGCGCGATGCAAAATTCAGCAAAAATATTTTTTCGCACCGTGCGATTTTTCGATATTATTTTTTGCACCGTGCAAAATTTAGCAGAAATATTTTTTTGCACGGTGCAAAATTCAGCGAAAATTTTTGCACCGTGCAAAATTTCGAGTTTATTTTTTGCACAGTGCAGTTTGAAAACCACAAAAAAATGTCTTTCACAGTGCTGAATTTAAAAATTTTTTCACTGTCAAAAAACCAAAAAAATGTTTTTTTCTGCACTGTGCAAAATCAAAAAAAAAAAAAAATCTGCGCGGTGCAAGATTCAGCAAAAATATTTTTTCGCACCGTGCGATTTTTCGATATTATTTTTTGCACCGTGCAAAATTTAGCAGAAATATTTTTTTGCACTGTATTCAGCGAAAATTTTTGCACCGTGCGAAATTCTGAATTAATTTTTCGCACCGTGCAAAATTCAGCGAAAATTTTTGCACTGTGCGAAATTCCAAATTTATAAATATTTTTTTGCACGGTGCAAAATTCAATAAACATATTTTTTGCACTGTGCGAAATTCCAAATTTATTTTTTTGCACTGTGCAAAATTTAAAACGACTAATTTTTTTAGGCTCATACAGAACGAATGGAAGTTGGTGACAAAACTTATGTCGGCTTTGGATGGGAAGCAGTGACCTGGCCATTCTTTGCGACGTCTCTTCAGCCGTCCTTGGCGTTTTCAAACTTTGTCTTCGCTTTTCAAGATGAGGCGGGTGAGTTGGTTTTTGTTTTTGAAAAAAAAATTTTTTGTCGTTTTGCACAGTGCAGAAAACGTGGTTTTGAAATTTTTGCACAGTGCAAGCAAAAAAACCTAAATTTTGCACTGTGCAAAAAAAATAAAAAATTTTTTTTTCTGTGCATTATCCAAAAATTTTTTTTTCACTGTGCATAATTTTTCTAAAAAAAATTATTTTTGCACTGTGCAGAATCCAAAAAAATAAAAAAAATTGACTGCACTGATTCCACCATTTTTTTCAGTCAGTCAAATTGTCCACGACGCCTACGTCCGTCTGAATGCGAAAGCCGTCCGAAAAACGCGAGTTTCGGGCTCGATTATTGACACTTTGTCCGATGTTCAGCTCTACTTCATCAATCTGGCTCAAACATTGTTGATTCAGAGGGCCAAATATGATGCAACCACACTCTTCGACGATAACGACAAGATTTGGAAACTGTTCAAATGCCTGAGGCCATTTTCGAATGCCTTTAAATGCGAGCCGGGTACCAAATACTACCAAGTGGAGGAATGTCGAGTTCTCAAAGGAAACATATTCCCAAATTACAATTTGAGTTACTATGGGCACGACGCGGTCAAAAGATTCTTTATGAATTAATAAAACTGATTTTACGCTTTGCTTTTTAATGAAAAAATTAAACTGAAATTTGCACTGTGCAAAAACTAAAAGCAATTTTTTGCGCAGTGCAATGCAAATCTTGGCCAAAAGTGGTAACGATTGGATTAATTCTTCAGTTTCCGTCGTTTCAAATGTCTTCTTACAAATTTTTCATCAGGTGACATTTTATACGTTGAATTATTTTTTCGTATAAAATGTCACCTCGCTCAATGAAAAAATAAATAAAAGCTACTGTTTATGTATGCGTAACACAACAATTAATCTCGCTTGCAGTCTTTTGCCTCACCACGAAAATGGAAAGGAGTTTGGCATTGTGCAAAATAAAGAATTTGCAAAGAAAATTTTTTTTTATAAAAACCATTTTATCGCCTTCCAAGTCCCGTTTCCTAGCCGAAAGTTCCCTCAGACGTCAGCAAGTTGACAAATGACATGGGTATGAGCCATTAAAGTCTAAATTTACACGTAAAGACACTATAATTGATAAAATATATAAATCTTCATGACTTTTTTATATTTATTTTTCCCATTTGCAGAATGCCAAAAAGTGCCAAAAAGCCGGGAACTGACTTTTGTTATGGGGAAAAATTGATGTATAACTCCTCAGCCGAGTAGTAAATGTGCCGCGATTTTTTGCATGCTGTTTGATAAGAATGTATCAATGTTGACTTCCAAGTTTCATGCGATTTTTCGTTATTATAAGTCGGTTAGACCGCGGGAAAGATTGCAATTGTTGAATACTTAAGGTGGCTATATCTTGCAAACGGTAAAAACTGCAGAAATTATTTTAGGTGGTGCGGATAGAGTTCTATTCCCTCCTTCTTATTTACTATTTATCCAATCACCCGATGTCCTCAAAAGTGAGAGGCGATAATATTTGTTGGACCGTCTTTTTGTAACGAAGTGTTCAAAAATTTCAATCAATAATTGCAACGATTAGCTAAAAAAGCGCTTTTCAATTGGGATTAATTGTTGTGTAAACACAACAAGGATGGATTTAAAAAAAATATCAGGTGACATTTTACACGATGAATTATTTTTTCATATAAAATGTCACCTTTCTCAATGTGAAACAACAAATAAAAGCCACTGTTTATTTACGCGTAAATTGGTGTACATCGCTGAAATTATTTTTTGTCATTTCTCCGCCACCTGTTTTTTAACACTTACAAAGAACAGAGTACATCTTTCGCCCTTCTCACAATCTTTTCTACCCCAGCACCAACCTCCAGCTGAAAGTGAAAATAAAAATATAATATTAAAAACGCTTTTACTGACAGGGGAAGAACTTGAGTGCGACGCTCAGAATTTGATGAAACTTGGCACAGCTTTAGAATAACTTTCTCAAAGACATATGCAAGGCTTTTCTCTCTGACCGCTCTCCACGTTTAGTGTACTCTCTCGGCGGCAAAGATCGCCGACAATCTCGGCTTCCCCTGCAAAGCGCGAACTAAAATTTACAGCAATTGATGTGTGGCCTATACCCAAACTGTGTGCGAAATAAAAAGAGAATCCGAGTGTCGCACTGCACGTACTTCCCATTTTGAATGACTTACCTTCAACCGCACTAATCACGACGAGCAATGCAACAAGCAGCAACAAGAGACGCATGTTCGACAGTTGAAAGACCATGCTTTTGAAAACGACGAAAGGTCGACCGTCCACCGCGCCGGAGAATCCAACGAATGAATGAATGCCACCGAAAGGAGCAAAGTCGACCATTTGTCACGTAGCACAGCGTTCTGTACTTTTTTGGAATGATTCCGACACCGATTTTTTCAAATTCTTCTAAAATAGCCCGCATTTACGCGGGTGTAATAATTTTCTATGCACTGTGCAAAATTTCAGAAAATTTTTTTGCACGGTGCAGTTTTTGATTTTTTTTCAGATTTTAGGTATGGAACAATTTTAATGTATCCGCGGCCATAGATGCGTATTAAAACTTCGCAAACCATATTTAAAAGGTCCCTGGTCGATCAAAAACATGTTTAGAACAGTATGAGAGGTATTTGAGACTTTTTTAGATCCACGTTGTACTTGATCACTTAGACCCGAAAACATCTCAAACCCGGGTTTGAAAGAATATTTATGTTGGGGACGGTTTAGTAATGGCTCAGCTTTATAGTTTTCCGAGTTTAAACCTCAAAAAAATTAGATTTTGCCTGCAAATTGATAAAAGTACCTAGTGTAATATCGAAAACCGAATCAACAAAAAAACTGTAAGTCCTTTCATGCTGAAACAATTCTGGCACGAAGGCTCGACGCCGGTTCTTTTGTGGGGAAGACTTTCAAATTTCGTTCATGGAATGGCAAGAACGAACAGCATCCATCTAAATTTATATACCTACTACAATGTCTGAATACGCAAGGATAAACTTATGTAATGCAAAAAATTGTTGCAGAGTCAGAAAGAGGGATAATTTAACTTACTTATGGGGTTATTGTCCTGTCGATGTATGCAGATTAAAACATAAAGAAATTTATATTAATCTTGACAAAAATGAATTTTAAGAGGAAGAGTTGACCATCCAAGGAGAAAGACTTGGCTCATCCTGCAGTGCACTGTGCAAAAAATAAACTCGAAATTTTGCACGGTGCAAGAAACAAACTTGAAAAATCATAAAAAATGCAAAAATTCTTGCTGAGTTCTGCACCGTGCAAAAAAATTTTCTGAAATTTTGCACAGTGCATAGAAAATTATTACACCCGCGTAAATGCGGGCTATTTTAGAAGAATTTGAAAAAATCGGTGTCGGAATCATTCCAAAAAAGTACAGAACGCTGTGCTACGTGACAAATGGTCGACTTTGCTCCTTTCGGTGGCATTCATTCATTCGTTGGATTCTCCGGCGCGGTGGACGGTCGACCTTTCGTCGTTTTCAAAAGCATGGTCTTTCAACTGTCGAACATGCGTCTCTTGTTGCTGCTTGTTGCATTGCTCGTCGTGATTAGTGCGGTTGAAGGTAAGTCATTCAAAATGGGAAGTACGTGCAGTGCGACACTCGGATTCTCTTTTTATTTCGCACACAGTTTGGGTATAGGCCACACATCAATTGCTGTAAATTTTAGTTCGCGCTTTGCAGGGGAAGCCGAGATTGTCGGCGATCTTTGCCGCCGAGAGAGTACACTAAACGTGGAGAGCGGTCTGGGAAAAAACACTTTTTTGGCAATATCTTGGCCAGTTTCGCATGGAAAAGTTTTTTTTTGTGGAAACATTTTCCTATACGGTAGAAATCAGCATAAAACTTTTGCTCCCAAAATTCGCAAAATGGGTCGACATTTTTTTACACTAAAAAGGTAGTTTCTGCAAAGTGCGAGATAGAAGCCTTGCATATGTCTTTGAGAAAGTTATTCTAAAGCTGTGCCAAGTTTCATCAAATTCTGAGCGTCGCACTCAAGTTCTTCCCCTGTCAGTAAAAGCGTTTTTAATATTATATTTTTATTTTCACTTTCAGCTGGAGGTTGGTGCTGGGGTAGAAAAGATTGTGAGAAGGGCGAAAGATGTACTCTGTTCTTTGTAAGTGTTAAAAAACAGGTGGCGGAGAAATGACAAAAAATAATTTCAGCGATGTACACCAATTTACGCGTAAATAAACAGTGGCTTTTATTTGTTGTTTCACATTGAGCAAGGTGACATTTTATACGAAAAAATAATTCATCGTATAAAATGTCACCTGATGAAAAATTTGTAAGAAGACATTTGAAACGATGGAAACTGAAGAGTTAATCCAATCGTTACCATTTTTGGCCAAGATTTGCATTGCACTGCGCAAAAAATTGCTTTTAGTTTTTGCACAGTGCAAATTTCAGTTTAATTTTTTCATTAAAAAGCAAAGCGTAAAATCAGTTTTATTAATTCATAAAGAATCTTTTGACCGCGTCGTGCCCATAGTAACTCAAATTGTAATTTGGGAATATGTTTCCTTTGAGAACTCGACATTCCTCCACTTGGTAGTATTTGGTACCCGGCTCGCATTTAAAGGCATTAGAAAATGGCCTCAGGCATTTGAACAGTTTCCAAATCTTGTCGTTATCGTCGAAGAGTGTGGTTGCATCATATTTGGCCCTCTGAATCAACAATGTTTGAGCCAGATTGATGAAGTAGAGCTGAACATCGGACAAAGTGTCAATAATCGAGCCCGAAACTCGCGTTTTTCGGACGGCTTTCGCATTCAGACGGACGTAGGCGTCGTGGACAATTTGACTGACTGAAAAAAATGGTGGAATCAGTGCAGTCAATTTTTTTTATTTTTTTGGATTCTGCACTGTGCAAAAAAAAATTTTGTGGATAATGCACAGACTTGCACTGCGCAAAAATTTCAAAACTACGGTATCTGCAATGTGCAAAAATAAAAAAAATCTTTTTTCTTGCACAGTGCAAAGTTTAAATTTTCACATCAATGCAAAATTAAAAAAAAAAAATATTTTTTTCCACTGTACAAAATTCAGGGCCTTTCTTCGCTCGCACTGTGCAAAAATTTCAAAACCACCTTTTCTGCACTGTGCAAACGGAAAAAAAACTTTTTTCAAAAACAAAAACCAACTCACCCGCCTCATCTTGAAAAGCGAAGACAAAGTTTGAAAACGCCAAGGACGGCTGAAGAGACGTCGCAAAGAATGGCCAGGTCACTGCTTCCCATCCAAAGCCGACATAAGTTTTGTCACCAACTTCCATTCGTTCTGTATGAGCCTGAAAAAATTATTTTTTTTGAATTTTGCACGGTGAAAAGAATTCGAAATGTTGCACGGTGCGAAAAATTAATTCGGAATTTCGCACAGTGCCAAAATTTTTTTTTTGAATTTTTCCCGGTGCAAAATATCTATAAATTTGGAATTTCGCACAGTGCAAAAATTTTCGCTGAATTTTTCACCGTGCAAAAAAATATTTCTGCAAATTTTTGCACTAATATGGAAAGGATTCTGACCGACCTTCCTCCTCTTTGTTAGTGTGCCAAATTGAACCTCTCTAACGTGCCAAGTGAACTTCAGTAAGATGATTACTATTTTTAGTTTAATGATCCTTGTCGCTTAATAATTCAAGGAAATGAAATTCTTCACGTTCTTAATCGTGACAGGGCACGATGCGGTCAAAAGATTCTTTATGAAGTAATAAAACTGATTTTACGCTTTGCTTTTTAATGAAAAAATTAAACTGAAATTTGCACTGTGCAAAAACTAAAAGCAATTTTTTGCGCAGTGCAATGCAAATCTTGGCCAAAAATGGTAACGATTGGATTAATTCTTCAGTTTCCGTCGTTTCAAATGTCTTCTTACAAATTTTTCATCAAGTGACATTTTATACGATGAATTATTTTTTCGTATAAAATGTCACCTTGCTCAATGAAAAAATAAATAAATAAAAGCTACTGTTTATGTATGCGTAAACACAACAAGGATGGATTAAAAAAAATATCAGGTGACATTTTATACGATGAATTATTTTTTCGTATAAAATGTCACCTTGCTCAATGAAAAAATAAATAAATAAAAGCTACTGTTTATGTATGCGTAAACACAACAAGGATGGATTAAAAAAAATATCAGGTGACATTTTATACGATGAATTATTTTTTCATATAAAATGTCACCTTGCTCAATGTGAAACAACAAATAAAAGCTACTATTTATTTACGCGTAAACATATCAAAGATAGATTGGAAATGTGTGTGCTCCATCGTCTTAAAAATTCAAGGATACACAGTTCTGAAAATTTTTTTGTCATCTCCTATTTTTTGACACTTACGGCGAGAATACAAATTTCGTTGCTGTCACAGTTCAAATTAGTTAAGCACCAATCAGCAGCTGAAAGTGAAAATAATAAAAATAAAAACGCTTTTACTGACCGGAGAAATACTGTAAGTGCGACGCTCAGAAATTGACGAAATTTGTCACAACTTTAGAGTAATTTTCTCAAGACATATGCTACATCGCGATTTGCAGCAAAAACTGTTTGTTTTTGGTCGAAATTCGACAATTTTTTTTGCTTCCCTCTCTGACCGCTCTCCGCGTTTTACTCTCTCTCTCTCTCCGCAAAGATCGTTCAACTTGTCAGCTGCCTCTGCAAAGCATGACCCTAAATTTACACTAATTGACATGCGGTATATACCCTAACTGCGTGCGAAAAAAAAAAGTAAAAGTTCATTATTTTGGCCACAACAAAGGAACTCCGCGAACTGCGCCCAAGCTTGGGCACTAAAGTTAGGAAAAAACGCTTCGACCTAGCTGGCACTGAATTACTATAATAGCTCTATAGTTTTAAGGGTACCTAAAGGGCTGTGACGGCTCATTTAGTTCCATACGGAGGCAATAAGTTTAGTTCCGGATATGTTTCATCGCATAAAGTGTAAAATCACAGGCCGCAGCCGTTTTTGAAGGGTAAGGTGGTACGTAAAAAAGAAGGTACCTCACTAACTAAATCCACTGTCCGGGCATTGACAACGATGAATTGAGCGTACACGCTAAATTTGGGCTAATTCCGACCAGTTTCCGCAAAGTTATAAGTTGTGGCCAAAATAAGGAACTTTTACCCTGTGTGCGAAATAAAAAGAAAATCCGAGTGTCGCACTTGTAATTGACATGTAGTCTACACTCTACATGTATACAAAATTAAAAGAAAATCCTAGCATTGCACTTATGGTACTTCCCAGTTTGAATGACTTGCCTTCAACCGCACTAATCACGACGAGCAATGCAACAAACAGCAACAAGAGACGCATGTTCGGCAGTCGAGAGAGCACACTTAACGACGAGAGGGCAACCGTCCACCAAGCCGGAGAATCCAACGAATGAATGAATGCCAACCGAAAGGAGCAAAGTCGACTATTTGTCACGTAGCATAGCGTAGCGTAGCAAATTAGTCCAAATTTGCGTGAAAATAGAAGTTTCGCTCATCTATGGGAAATTTTCATTTTTTTTATTACGAAGTTATGAAACAATTCCTAAATGGCACAATAACCGTAATAAATGTGAAAAATACAAGGTGCTTGATATTTAACACAATCGCTTTCATTCAGATTACCTTTCTTTACAATTCAAGCTTATATAAACTTCATTTATGTATCATAGTTCGTCTTAAAAAACGCGTTGAGTTTGTAAATAAAATGTCTCTAATATGCCTGTATCCTATTAATCACAAAAATGTAATCTAAACCCGAGCAGAAAACCTACTAAAAAATTGTGGTACCCCCTCTTTCGTCGAATATTGTACTTCATTTATTGAAAATGTCAGAGAACCCCCAGGAGATGTTGTTCGTGACCTCAGGTATGCTTAACTTTTGTTTTTTTTTACTTGTGTTTACAACTTTTTCTGAAGGGCGAAAAAACTTCAGAGCTCTGAGTCAGCGGTCACCAACCTCACCCCAGAATGAAAATGACGGTAAAAGTTCCTTATTTTGGCCACAACCTATAACTTTGCGGAAACTGGTCGGAATTAGCCCAAATTTAGCGTGCACGCTCAATTCATCGTTGTCAATGCCCGGGCAGTGGATTTGGTTAGTGAGGTACCTTCTTTTTTACGTACCATCTTACCCTTCAAAAACGGCTGCAGCCTGTGATTTTACACTTTATACGATGAAACATGTCCGGAACTAAACTTATTGCCTCCGTATGGAACTAAATGAGCCGTCACAGCCCTTTAGGTACCCTTAAAACTATAGAGCTATTATAGTAATTCAGTTCCAGCTAGGTCGAAGCGTTTTTTCCTAACTTTAGTGCCCAAGCTTGGGCGCAGTTCGCGGAGTACCTTTGTTGTGGCCAAAATAAGGAACTTTTTCCGCACGCAGTTAGGGTATATACCGCATGTCAACTAGTGAGGAACTTTTTCCAAAATGACCCCCAAATGAGCAAAAATTCAATTTTTATGCAGATTTTGCACTAAATGTATGAGAAATTGGGGTTGCCAAATTGGTCCATGCTCGACTTTGCTCCTTTCGGTTGGCATTCATTCATTCGTTGGATTCTCCGGCTTGGTGGACAGTCGACCTCTCGTCGTTAAGTTGGAACACGCACCTTTTTGGATATCTTCGACTTATCTTTGATGTGTTTACGCGTAAATAAACAGTAGCATTTATCTGTTGTTTCACATTGAGCAAGGTGACATTTTATACGAAAAAATAGTTCATCGTATAAAATGTCACCTGATATTTTTTTAAATCCATCCTTGTTGTGTTTACGCATACATAGACAGTAGCTTTTATTTATCTATTTTTTCATTCAGCAAGGTGACATTTTATACGAAAAAATAAGTCGTCGTATAAAATGTCACCTGATATTTTTTTAAATCCATCCTTGTTGTGTCACGCACACATAAACAGTAGCTTTTATTTATTTCTTTTCTCATTGAGCAAGGTGACATTTTATACGAAAAAGTAATTCATCGTATAAAATGTCACCTGATGAAAAATTTGTAAGAAGAAATTTGAGACGACGAAAACTGAAGAATTAATCGAATCGTCACCATTTTTGGCCAAGATTTTCATTGCACTGTGCAAAAAATTGGTTTTAGTTTTTGCACAGTGCGAATTTCAGTTTAATTTTTTCATTAAAAAGCAAAGCGTAAAATCAGTTTTATTACTTCAAAAAGAATCTCCTGACCGCATCGTGCCCATAGTAACTCAAATTGTAATTCGGGAATATGTTTGAGAACTCGACATTCCTCCACTTGGTAGTATTTGGTACCCGGCTCGCATTTAAAGGCATTCGAAAATGGCCTCAAGCACTTGAACAGTTTCCAAATCTTGTCATTATCGTCGAAGACTGTGGTTGCATCATATTTGGCCCTCTGCTATGGACAAATCAGCGGAATAAGGCCAATTGCACGGCAACCCGAAATAGAGGAAAAATGTTTCCCGCCCACTTTTTAGTTTCGTCCAAACGAAGTGTCAAAATTGACAAAAGAAATAAAATAATTCAGAGAAAAACATTTTTCGGTCGGAAAATCCCACGAAAAATTCTTTTGTGACATTTCCTTTGATTTTAACCGATACAAAATGGGCGCAGTGCCGAAAGGAGCCAGGAAACACTTCGGGTTGCCGTGAATTGTTTCTTCGTTTTTGTTCACTGATTCAATTATTACGAATTTTAATTGATATTTTTGTTACTCCGACTGGGAAACGTCCGATTTTTTGAATTTAAAAGTGCATGAACGTTTTTTTGTTTTCGCACAGTGCATCTTGAACCATTTCCCACGCTTGTCGCCAACGCACAGTGCATGTTTTTTCAACCTCAAAAAAGCCGTTTGCACTGTGCAAATTGTTCGGCAAAACCGCGGCGACGCGATATTTTCGTGCAAAAGCAGAAAAATTGGGAGCCACGGCGCAAAACGGACATCTTTTGTGCACGATGCGGCCGCGACAAAAAGTCTATGCACTTCGTGAAAATACTAATAATGTGCAAAAACAATGTCAGATGCAAATTTCAGACCAGAGTCTGTCGTTTCAAACGTCTTTTTAAAGGATTTTTCGTCAGGTGACATTTTATACGATGATATTTTTTCCAATTTTTTCGTATAAAATGTCACCTTGCGCAATGGAAAAACTAAATAAAAGCTGTTGTTTATGTACACCTAAACACATCAAACATAGATTGAAAATATCCGGAAGGGTGGCCTCATCAGGTGACATTTTATACGATGAATCATTTTTTCGTATAAAATGTCACCTTGCGCAATGGAAAAAC